CAAAGTTGTCTGGACTAGCCTTGAACTCTCAGTCCTCCTACCTCAGCCTCCTGAATAGCTGGGATTATAGGCATGTGTCACCATGCCCAGTTTCATGTGTATTGTCTAAATAAAATGCTTCAAATAAAATTTTTCAATAAATATTTCAAGATTGTTTTTAATGTTTCTGCAGTGTACCCTGCTTCAGTGCTGGTGTTCAATAAATACTTGATGAGAAGTTTTTGCTCAAGCAGTGATTTTACATGAGTACAGTATATCCACTTCTGGGGAGAAACTGTTCAACTTTCCCAGCAGGGTTTTTTTTGTTTTTATTTTTGCGGTACTGGGGATTAATTAATTCTAGGGCCTTCTCATTGAACTACATCCCCAGCCCTCTTTTTATTTTTTATTTTGAGACAGGATCTCACTGAGTTGCTATGTTACCCAGACTGGGCTAGAATTTGTGATCATCCTACTTCAGCCTTTCAGAGTGCTAAAATTTCAGGCTTGTGTCACCATGACCAGCTGACCCATTGCTTTTTTAGGAGTGTGTTGTTTAACTTGCACTGGCTCATTTACTCTAAATTTCAAGAGTATAGGTCTCCCAGTGACAAAGGTCAGTCAAATTCTTCATTATAGGACATAGTGTAACCCTATTCATTCTTGGAGAGGACTTTAAAAGCCAGGAAAACCCAAGGCAGCAGTGCCCAGGGAACTATCTTGAAGGCTACCCTTGAAATCCTTGTCTCACAGGATGAGTAGCCTGAATGCTACTTACAGAAATTTCTGCAGCTTCCTTTCTGGCCTCCTAATAAATCAGATGTAAGTATCCGTTATTTTGTATAACCAAAAACTCCTAGTCCATGACTTCAGAGACTAGAAAGTCTACTGGGGCACCAACCTTATAGGGAATATATTTGCAAGTTTTGTGCAACAGAGTTTAGTTACAGTTTTCTCACCAATATCTAGAACTTGTGTCTGTTTCAAATTTTGTCATTCATGTTAGCTAAGTATATTCACTTACTAATTTATTTCTGATACTGGGGACTGAGCCCATTGCCTAACATACGCTAGGTGAACACTACTACTGAGCTATGGGCGCAGGCCCTATTTTTCAGTTTTCTTTTATGGTAGGATCTTAATTGGTGAGGTGGGTCTCAAACTTTCAGTCTTCCTGCCTTAACTTCCCTAGTACCTAGGACTCATAGTCCTGTGGGATTAAGCCTAGCTGTTTTGTTTTGGGTTTGTTTGTTTTTTGAGATGGGTCTCACTATGTAGTGCAGGCTGACCTGGAACTCATGTAGCCCAGGTTGGCTGTGAGTGTGCAGCAATCTTCTTGCCTCTGCCTTCTGAGTGCTGGGTTTACAGGCATGCACCACCAAGCACAGTTTGGCCTCTAATTTGTGATCTTTCTTCCTCAGCCTACCAAGTAGCTGGGATTACAGGCATATGCCAGTGTGCCCAGCTAACTTAATCGATTGATGGATTGATTAATTGTGCTAGGAATTGAACCTAGGGCCTTTGTACTTTGGTATATCCCCAAATATTACCCCCTGCATTTTTTTTTTTTTTTTTGAGACAGAGTCTCTTTATGCAGTTCAGGCTGGCCTTCAGCTCACTTTGTAGCTCAGGTTGGTCTCGAACTCGAAATGATCCTCCTACCTTAGCCTCCCGAGTGCTGGAGTTACAGGCGTGAGCCACCATGCCTGGCCCCCCTGCATTTTTGAGACAAGGTCTTACTAAGTTGTTCAGGCTGGACTGGAATTTGTAATCTTTTTGTCTTAGCCTCCCAGAATGCTATGATTACAGAAGTGTGCCACGTTGCCTGGCCTAGCTAAGGTTTTTTGTTTGTTTTGTTTTTTTGAGACAGTCTCACTTTTTAAAGTGCAGGCTGCCCCTGAATTCACTATGTAGCTCAGGCTGGCTTGCTGCCTCAGTCTTCCTCAGCTGGGATTAGAGGTACGTGGTATTATGCCTGGCTGCTAAGGCTTTTTTAAATTTTTTTTCTGGTACTGAGAATTGAACTCATGACCTTGCGCTTGCCAGGCAGGTGCTGTGTGGCTGAGCTATATCCCTAATCCAAGATTTTTTTTTTTTTAAATATGCGGGACAGATTTAAAAATAAATGAGCTAGCTTTTTTCTTTGATGATAGTAGACACTGATCTAGCCATGCCAAGGACATCCGTTCTTGTCCAAAGGGTCTCTTGAGTGTTTTTTCCCCACTCCAAGTCTCCCAATAAAATGGTTTGGACCCCTCCCCCACCCAAACCCCCAAAAACCCAGTGGGCTAGAAAAACTAGTTAGCCAATCACTTTGGCCATTATCATAAACTAAAATCATGTAAACTTTCTTTTGGTATTGGGGATTGAACTCACGACCTTGCACTTGCCAAGCAGGCCCTTATGCCACTGAGCTAAAGCCCTGGTCCCTAAAATCATTTAAACTTTTGATACACATCTGATTTACTTATTAATGTCTTACATTGTTAAATGGTAAATTAAAATTTAACATTGTATCTGAAGTGTGTAACTCATTGGTGTTAGGTACACCACAAATTGTATAGCCATTACCACTATCTGTTTCTACAGTTTTTCCATCATTTCCGACTCTATACTCATAATTCTTGATCTTTTTCCTTCAGCCCCAGATTACCTGTATTCTACTTTTGTCTCTTGTGAATTTGCTTATTCAGGATTATCTCATGTAAGTGAAATCATACAGTATTTACACTTTTGTTTGTTTCTTTTAAGTCAGGGCTTCCCTAGGTAATTTAGGCTGGCCTTGAACTCACTGTGTAGCACAGGCTGGCCTGGAACTCAGGTCAATCCTCCTGCCTCAACTTTACCAGTGCTGGGACTTGGGTGTGGTGGTGTGTTCCACCACACCTGGCTAGAATATTTCTATGGCTATATAAAACTTGGTATTGCATTGGCATAAGAGCCAATTCCCATATTTTTTGTTTTTGTTTTTGTTTCTTGTTCCTGTGTGGTTCAGGCTGACCTTGAACTCTTGGTGATCTGCCTGCCTTAGCCTCCCAAGGGCTGTGATCATAGGCATGTGCTGCCACACCCAGTGACATGTATCTTTCTTAGCCTTTTTTTTTTTTTAAATCGGTTCTGGGGATCAAACTCACAACCACCTGCTTGCAAGACAGGTGCTTATGCCGCTGAGCTAAATCCCCAGCCGGACATGTATCTTTCTTATAATTTGTTTTTATGTATATAGCTTTTTTTTTTAATCAGATGTGTGTGTGTGTATAAAGATATATATATATATATATATATATATTCTTTTTTTTTGTACTGGGGGTTAAACCCAGGACCTTTGCACAGAGCTATATCCCTGCCCTGTTTCCTTCCTTTTTTTTTTTTAGGTTTTTTTTGGTAGGGGCATTGCCAGGAATCAAACTTAGGACCTCATGCTTCCCAGGCAGGCGCTGTGCCACTGAGCTACCTCTCAGCCCCTTTTTTCTTTTTCTTGCAGTGTCTTGCTAAGTTGCCTAGGCTGGGCTCAAAGTTATGATCCTCTTGCCTCAGCCTCCCAGGGTTCTGGGATTATAAGCATGTGCCACCATGCCTAGCTCTAGTGCTGCTCTCCTTGAAACAATAATTAATTTGATGTTATAATTAGGCACTTTCTTTTAGACAGTGTATAATTCAAAATATTTTTATGTGTGTTTCAAATATTTATTAAACAAAACTCTTGGACAAGTTCCTGGTTTAATCTTCCTGTTTTGTTTTGTTTTGTTTCCAGGTATTTCTGCGTTATCTTCTAGAGCAGTGGTCCTATTAATTACCCTCTTTCCCTGTCTTGAAATATTGATAACTTTCTACAGATCACCTCCATGGTTTGGAATGAAAAAGATGGCTTCCTTTTGTTCCACCTCTCAGCTTCAACAGAGATGCCCTTAGGATGCAGTTAACCTGTGACTTCTCCAGGAAAAAAACCTAACTGATGTGGGGCTTGTACTATGGTTTACTTAATTATAAAGAAATTTTGCAAGCTGAAGGCATATATGTTTAGTTTTAAACAGGTGCTTAGGTCATGATATTTGTGAATTCTTTCACTTTTGTTCCAAACAACAAGAGTATATAAACAGCAAGTATGGACGACTTCAGGGGTTCTTAAAAATGTCTTCCAGCTTCAGCCACGATATGAGAAGCACAGTTAAGACTGTATTAGTAACTTCCAAATAGTCATTATGATTCATAATGAAAGAGATGTTAAAACATTACATATATCTCAAAATCTTGGCTTATCCTGCCGTGGATTTGCTGGAGGAGAACAAAGATCCACTTTTGTAATTAAATCTTCGATATTATAAAGAAGCATAGAGATACTAAGGTTGATTTCATATGTGAGTAAACCAATTTCTGTAGATACACATTTTTACACAAGAAAACTTACGTTTTTGAACAAAATTTTTTTTTCTGTTAGAGAAGGACGATGTTGACTTATTTTTTAGAAGTTTTTGGAAATCTGATACTTTAAAAAGTTTTTTTTCATTCTTCTAAGGAAGGAGCAGCCCACGCAGCAGCTAATCTTGTGAATGCATGTTCTCACTTAGTTGAAAGAATGATAAAACAACATAGTTTGAATCCAGTGATGGAATCCTATTCACTTCCCTAAGATGAGTGGCAACTGTTACAGAATTCTTCATCCCTTCCTGGAGTGGAATCCTATATAGCAGAAGACTTTGTTTTCCCTGTGGTGAAGGCAGGAAGGAAAAGGGGTTCACTTCAGAAGATGTAATGGGCCCTGTTGTACAGCCTGCCCTCAACTCTGGGACATGGAAGTATGAAGATAAAAATGAGAAAGTTTCTGCATACCTTGCTGCTAAGAAAAAGAAGCAAAATGTCTTAGGTAGCACCATCTGAGTTTTAACATTTTACATTGTATAGCTCCATTTTATATGAACTAACTTTTCCTTTGACCCAGGATGGGCACTTAATGTTTTATTTTTCTAGGCAGTGGGTGTCATATTAGGCTGAAAAGGCTAGAACTCAGGTAAATATCCCTATTTATACTTTTTTTTTTTTGTCCTTTTGCTTTTTATCAGTACCAGGGATCGAACTCACGACTGCCTGCTTGCAAGGCAGGCGCTTATGCCGCTGAGCTAAATCCCCAGCCCCAAATATCCCTATTTAAAACTGAGCTTTCTTCTCAGAATGAGCCTTAGAAGTAATGTTCTCAATCCTGTGCTTGATCATTAGAGATTTAGAAGAAATTTAGGATCTGAAAAGAACTCAAGAAAAGTAGTTCCAGTAAGAATTATCGATCTACTTTATTTTCCCTCCACAGTTAACTCTATGATGAGCAAACACACTGTCATAGAACCCTGTCCCTCCAAATCAACAGGGGACTATAGTATGAGATGTCAGGTTTCTGTAAGAAAAGGGAAACCTTTGGTTTTCATTCTTTCTGAGTAGAGAAAGAACTTGAAAAATGATTACTCTGTTCTGTGGAATGGTTCCCCAGAGGTGTGGGTGCTGTGATGCCAGGAATTTTAGGTAGGTTTACCAAAATTTGAGAGTGATAGAAATAACCTAAAATGGTCAATGTTGAATATTGTAATGATTAGTCAGATTGGTCAATCTGTTTAATGTAAATAGGGAGGAAAACCCTTTTTCATAAAACATACAAGACAAAATGTAACTTCTTTTGAGGGCAGTTAGTGATAAGGCATAATGAAAATAATACTATCTAAAGGTAACTTAAATTTTTCTCTTAATCCCCTAGCCACTTCTTGATATTTTTCATTAGTATTTTAAAACAGTAAGAGACAGAATGAAGCTATGTGTGGTGGCACATGCCCGTAATCCCAGCTGTTTAGGAGGCTGAGGCCAAGGATCACAAGTTCCAAGCCAGCTTGGGCCATTTAGATCCTATCTCAAACTAAAATTTAGATAAGGGTATAGGGCAATTTAGATAAGGGTGGGGATGTGGCTCAGTGTTAAGAGGAATGGCCTATATACAGGCTCCTGGGTTTGATCCCTAGTACTGAGAAAAAAGGAACCTCCATACATGAGTCCCACTGAGAGGTTGCGAACCTATCATGGTTACATTGGACCTTCCAGTTTTCTGTTGTTCATTATCTCCATGATGCTTTGGTAACTTTGCATCAGGGTCATTGGGCAGGGAATGTCAATGCCAGTGAAACCAGATTGAACCCACCTATTTGAACAGGTATCAGATCCATCTCCAAATGCTTTATATTTTTCAGCCTACAGTTCAGGGAGTCAGTGTTCAATGCTATCATTTTCTTTACCCTCTGTCCCACCCATCCATGTTCAAAGATAAAAAGAAAATTTCAAAGCAAGTCAGTCGGGGCAACAGTGTACTTACATTGTGCATTCAGTGCTGTCTTTCAGTGACATTGTTCTCACATGTTCCAGGGTTGACACCAGGTGACATTTGACCAAATGGGCAAATTATCAGTTGTTGCCCTGTATTATTTTGCATTTAATTTTTGGTCTCATTAATAGCAAAAACTATTAATTTTAGAACTATACCTTGATCTGTAGCTGTGCCTCCTTTCTTTTCTTGGCTCATTCACATTATCTGATAGTTTTTCCTTTGGAAATTTTAAAAACGGGATATGTGCAATAGAAATATATATATATTTTAATACTTGTGGACAAATGTTACAAGTTGTTTAAGAACAACAAAATCACCAATGTCTTCCATTTTGAGACGTGTATAGTTTTGTAAGCATTAGTGCTTGGTAGCATATTGTAGTGCCATGTTAGGGGTTAGTGCATGAGCCTAGAAATTTCAATAATTCAGAATGAATTATTGATAATAACCAATAGTATAAAATGAGTGGAAAATCTAGACTTTTTCATAAATATTTGAATCTGATATTCTTCCTGGGGAAATGAAATTAAGGCCAAAAACCCCAGAAATCTTTGTTCGCAATCCAAAACATTGAAGATACATAAATTTTCCCCAAGGTAGCTAGAAATACCTGCCTTTGTATCTTATGAAACCTTAAATCAAAACAGTCATTTTATAATTCTGCAGTGCTTTCTTGGTTAGAGGTAACCTTGTTCTTGTAAGTCTTCACATTGTATTACTTGGATTCCTTTTTCTAGTCCTTTTGCATCCAGAAATTATTTTATATTTTGCATGTCTTACTGAGATGTTGTTACTTCAGTGAGAGCTACCTAATCTCTAGGCCATTTAGATTTCCTGTTTACAGTACATGGGTTAATGGAAGAACTCTGTCGGTGGTTTGGAGAATCCTAGATTGTTAACATATTTCTAAGTTTGCTGAGTTGTATATTGATGGGATTCCAGAGCTTTTCATGAGAATTGGAAAGGCAGCTAGATGAAACCTTCCTCAGTTGCTATGTTATAAGTGGTTGCTTTCCCTTGGTTATAGCAAGTCTCACAGTTTTCACTTTTTTCTACTTTCTTTACAGAAATAAAACGGTTTTGTTGTGAAAGCAAAAATTGCTTTTCTGTAAAAAGGAATTCTACCTCTAAAAGCTACCTTGAAGGTAGCAGTTTTTTGGAGTGCTTCTAAGATCTCAATATTGAGAATCGAGGATTGACACATTCTACAGTAGTGTGATGGGAAATTAAACTATTTCCATGTGTTGTCAAGCAAATTTAGAATTAGTAGATTCTGGTAGCAGATCTCTAGGGACCCAGGTTTAGGTTCTCATAGTGTGCATACAATAGTTGAGTTCTGTGTCAAATAGCTTAGTGCCTGGGAGAATCTGTTTATGAAAAGCATTTTTAAAAACTCAGAGTAATGAATACAGAATAACACTATATAGGGAAGGATATTTCCTGTTAAAAACAAGCCATAAAATGAACTGATAATTTCAAGAGGTAGAATTTCAGTAGCAATAACATTTGCATGTATAATGAATTGTATTTGCAAACTTTACAGTAGGATAAGTGATTACTACTTGAGTTGGTGGGGCTCTGTCATTAACAGAGTTGCACAAAAGGAAAAAAATGTTGTAGGTAAAGAGCATACAAAAGATACTTAGTATGAATGTATATTAATATACCTAAGTGAGAAATACCAACTTTTGTGTATTTTAAAGTTTAAAAACTATTTCTTTCCCAAAGCAAAGGCTTAGAGCTGTTGAAGTCTTTCTAGTGCTTAATCTAGAAACAAATATACTCCTGTAACCTCAGAAGTCCACATATGGAGGTTATGCTTAAGTTTTACTGGTTGGCAGCAGACATTTGCTGTATAGAATGCCATCTTTTCCGCTTTGTTACCTTCTTCTGTTGGATTCCTGGGCACATTTTTAAAAAGGAAGAATGTTATGTAAGTGATTAGGGTTTTTAAAAAAAATCCCAAGAACTTGGATAGCTGGCTTTTCATTCTGCTTATGATGAAAGAAGTTTAAGTTTTAAAGGTAAGAAGCTTTATTACAGAACTAAAGCACTTTCAATGTTATCCTGATTAAGTCAGTCAAAAAAATGAAGGTAAGAAGCTGTTGCCAGACATGGTAGTGCATGCCTATAATCCAAGCAATTGGGAAACTGAGGTAAGAGGATTGCCACAAGTTCAAGGAGAGCCTGTCTCAAAAGAAAGAAGTGTAAGGAGCAAAAGAATTGAGGGAAATAGCCAAAGATAATGACATTTTTAAAAAAATCCTAACTAATGTAGATAGGATGAAGCCTGTGGCGTGTGGCTACTGCTTTTGTTAAGGACCTGACAGGCTGCTTTCTTGATCACATAGCTCCCCTGAGAGTATAGTAGTAGAACTGGGCTGATTTAACTTCCTTTCACCTGGTGTCCATATTGACTGAGCAATTTAAAGATTGCTTTAAAGGATTGTATTGCAGAGCGGGGAAGAAACTGAAGTGGTAAAGATCTATGAATCTTGAATATGTAATTACTGTATGTGGTAGCTTCAGTGGTCAAGGAAAAGGCTGCATTAAATTGATGATGGCTCTTTAATGTCATTTTTGTTAGTGTTAGACACAGAACAACCAAGCAATATTCAGACATCTGCATGGTCATGAGGACATGGCTACTAATTACAGTGATGTCCATTTACTTCAAACAATTAAAGATTACCTTTAAAAACCATATTAATAGTTCTAAACTATGCTACAAGTGTCTGTAGTCTTAGCATATCTGGTTGCTCTTTGAAGTTCTTGTGGTCTGGTCTCTTGTTTACTCTGTACTTGTGATATGCAAACTATGAAGAGACCCTTGGCCTCAAGGAGTTTACATTCTCATGGTGCTGTTGGTGCCAGCAAGTTGCTTATAGTTCATAACACTGCTTGGATGCTAATCATTTTGGAAGGATCTCAGCCAGTGGTTTTAAAAGCAGAGGGTTGTATTAAACTTCAGGGCATCAATGCGTGAGTTTACATTTTAGTAACTACTCATCAACTCCTTGCCCTCAGGAGCTGTGCAGAGGCTGCTCATTAGCGTGAGTTGGAGAAGGAACCATTCTGCCTAAGAGCAGTTCACCATACACCCTGCCACCCATGCTCTTAGATACTGTCAGTAAATGGCCCAGAAAACTTACTGCTCCACAATTCTTTCTTGTGCATCTTTCAATTCTTTCTTTACCCAAAAGGGCCAGGATTTGAATATGAGCCTTTTATTACTGAACAGTGATCCTAATTTTAACCTTTTGTGTGACTTAAGCTGCTGTTTCTAAGACAGCGTTGTGATACATGTGAAGCAACTTCCACTTGAAAATTTGCATGTGTTAATATAATTTCCTCTGAGTCAAAGGATTTACCCTGCATGTTTATTAAAACTGGGTCAGGTTGAAAGTTCAAGCAATAGTTGCAGGTTCATATAAGTCTGATGGTAATATACTAATACTCTGTTGCATGATTGCAAATTTCTAGTATTGTAGTTACTAGTAATTTTATATATGCATTTATTTATAATGAAGCAATATAAATAGCTTGAATTTACTGTTTATTATTTTTCATTTTCTGATTGAAAATTATTTTACTTCTGTTGCAAATGATAAGTAGTAGATAAAGGGGCAACCACAAGACATTCATACTATAAGGAATAAATGAGCACAGCAATGCTTACTCTCTAATCTCTTTATTATTTCCTTTAGTCCTCAAGCATGTTTGAAAAGGCAGAAATTATGCATGTTTATTAAATAAGCTGCTATGGCTACAATAATCAAAAAGGTGCAGAGTTTCAGAAAGGGCAGGAAAGGAAATAATAGTGCATGTGAACTACTTAAGATTCAAAGGTTTGTCTGTTTAAGTTTGAAGTCTCTTAAAACTGGTCTGTAGAACCAGGTACAAGGGCATACACCTATAGCCCCAGCTACTTCCAGAGGCTAGGGCAGGAGGACTACTTGATCCTATGAGATAGAGGCCAGCCTGGGCAACACAGCAAAACCCTCTCAGCAAAAACAAGCTAGTGTTGTGGAAGCTAATAAGGTTAATGTGCACATTATTTCAGATGTTTTAGGATTTTAAGTAACGGGGTAACTAACTGTGCTGGGTGGTACTAGTATTGATCACTCAGAAAGGACATCAGCAGCAACAGACTTTGCATGTTAAAGGAAGAGCTGAGAATACTAATACATAGTACTTTCTATTGTATTAAAACTTTATTATTTTTTATAGCCAGTTTGATCTTGATGATTTGGTCAGAGTGCACAACTCCTTTCCTAACAGTTTTGATCCAGGTGAACAAAAAGTTTTTCCCATTTTAAAAAGAGCAGGGCGCAATGGCACATGCCTATTATCCCAGCACTTGGGAAACTAAGGCAAGGCAGGTTCCTGGCCAATCTGGGTAATTTAGCAAGACACTGAAAAACATTTTCCAAAAGTCTAGGCACGGAGCTGTTTTAGAGCACTTGCCAAACATGTACAACACCCTGTTTTAAGTACCTAGTACTGCAAAAAGCAAACATAACACAAGTATTTATGATAAGTAATGTACAAATCGAATTTATGGTATCTGAAAGAAACAAAACTCAGAGTAAGATTATGAGATTCACTAGGTTCCTTCCAGTTTTAATGTCCTACAATTGAAAAACATTTTTTCAAAATTATTTTAACTTTAGTCTTTGTAATCGAACTTTACTACAAATAACATACAGAGTGAATTAAGTGGAATTGTTACGTTAGTGCTTGAGAATGATTTGTCCTTGTGATGTTTGATTTCCACACAAATGCAGGAAGTGAGACATACCCATGTATAAATGTCCCTTGCCACTTACTGCTACCTTGCCTACCAAATAATAGTTAAGGTCAGATTTTCTCTTAACTCTTCTTATTACTCTAAGATATATTGAAATAGATTGTACTGGAAAATCAAACTTCATAGGAAATTTCTCCAGGAGCTCAGACTTACGGTTACTGACCATTTGCAAAATATTTATCTCCCTTGATGACTGTATGGCATGAAATCAAAATACTTTTTGATTTGGGAGTGTGGCATGTGTGAGGGCCCAGGTCTGATTCTCAGCCTAGCAAAAAAACATTTTTCCATCCAGGGGTTTAAAAAGTATTCTAGCAATAGGTTTTCATAAATCTTTAAACAGCTATACTAGTTTTGGCACTAACCTTAAAACTACTCATCTCCTATAATTTAAAAGATTTAAGAATGTTAGAGTACCTTTCACAATAGTTTATTTACTATCCTTTACAGAAGTTGCTTATTGTGTTTACTTGCTATTGTACATATCTTCCATTACATAATTGGGGTTGAAAAATGTTAAAATGGGGTACGTTTGAAGTATTACAGAAGGCAGCTTGCTGTCTATGCATCTTTGGAAGTTTTGAAAAAGTTTTAGTCTATGCATCTTTGGAAGTTTTGAAAAAGTTTTACTCTGTGACGTAAAAAGCTGTGAAAGAGTTGGAAACTCTGCACCTGTGTATATAGACATTTTTAAGCAATAAAGCAGCATGAGCAATGCACTGAAATTTCTGTGTGTTGTTACTTGAATTGGCTAACTTTGGAGAATGCTATAAATGATAATGATGAAAGAAGGAAATTTTCATAGGCCTAAGCTGAAGTAGGCTCTAGATGCCCACAAAGGACCAGCGTCTCTTGTTAAGGAGTTATAGTTTGTGTTGTATGTTGTCCAGTGGAACAGATGGCATCTGAAAAGCATTCCCACTTCACCTGTGGGGCAACTGTATGGTCCATCTATAAACACTTCGTTTCTGGTGAGAAGATAGTAGTATAATAAAACAACTCCAGGAAATCATTCCCACTTGAAATACATATATATCGCATTTAAGATACTTCTACAGTGGTACCTTGATTCATGAGTTTTTTTCCACAATTCTGGCCACAAACCAAGTTGGACAAAAACTGAATTAAAGAGGGCTGGGGATTTAGCTCAGCGGCATAAGTGCCTGTCTTGCAAGCTGGCAGTCGTGAGTTTGATCCCTGGTACCAATAAAAAAAAAAAAAAAAAAAAAAACAATTAAATTCAATGGTTAGGTTCAGTGTTGATCTGAGAATTGGGTTTGTGAACTGAGGCACTGCTGTTTTTAATATGTAAACTGGTTTTAGTTACATGGTGAGGTTTTAACATTAAAGTGTAACAAAAAGATACTTGTTTAGGAGAAAAGTTTTTTTCAGTAAGGATTTTACAGATTTTGGGATTGCTGTTGTCAAATGGGGAAGAACAAAGAAACTGGTTTTTACTATGACTAGTTAATACATTCTGATTTATGAAACTTCATTGAACAAATACACCCTGTAATGATAGCATAAACCATACACTATGCTAAATGTTGGTTTCTATCATTAAGAAACTCAAAAGAAAGCCAGGCATGTGGTATTCTCAGCATCCTGGAGACAGGCAGGCGGATACCAAGTTCTGGCCCAGCCTGGGCAACCTATTAAGACTTTGTCACAAAGAAAGAAAGAAAAAAACGGACTGGAAATGTAGCTCAACATGGCAGCCTTCCATTCAATCTCCAGTATTAAAAAAAAAAAAAAAAAAAACAGCTTCAGTATGTTGTGTTTATTCTCATAGTGTTTAAGTACTTAATGTGTGGCGTAACTAAAGGAACATTCTGAGAAATCTGTCTCTGAGTGATTGCCTCATTTTGTGAATATTTTCACATAGCAAGACCCTGACTCAAAAAGGATGGAGAATATACCTTAGTGACAAAAAAGAGACAAATTGTACTTTCTGTAGTCAGTTTATTAAATGTCATTATGTGTATTTCACATTAAAAAAGGATTCAACAGTATTTATATAACAATTGCTATACATTAAGAATCTACATTAAGCCTAGCTCTTTAGCCCAATCCTGTGTCTTTAGATCAGAGGAAACATGGGATATTGCCTCCTAATCCTAAAACCTGAAATGAAAGAAATTCAGAAATAGATACTATGAAACTGATAAGCCAAATAAGTTAGGCAAATAAGTAAATAGCTATGTAACATGCATAAGACTCCCTAGTGTCTCTTACCTTTTAAGAACAGCTTCATAAATCACTTGGAAAATCAGACTAAAAGTAAACATAAAGCCATCTTTCCTCCTACTATTCTTTCTTTGCTTTGTTTTTCTTTTTAATTTCCTCTCCCAATTCTTGAAGCCCATTTTTTCCAAATGACTAAACAAGCTAGGCATGGTGGCACATCCCTGTAATTCCAGCAATTGGGAGGTGAGGCAGGAGGATTCAGAGTTAAAGACCAGCCTGAGCTAGAGTAAGACCTTGTCTCAAGAAAAAAGAAATAAAAAGATCAAACAGCTCCATGGTTGAGGGTAGCAGAAAGACCTGAAGACTATACTCAAGCCTCGGTTTTGAAATAGTTTTCTGGCTTGGACTGGTCAGGGGTCCCTTCACTCAGAGACTTCATGACTGCATCTAAACGGGGGGGTATTAGCATCATCTTCTCTCTCAGCTGGGAAGAGAAATACAGAGAACTCATTCAAAATTTGCTAGCTGTAATCCCACTTCAAATTTAAATTAGTTATATCATGATTGGCAGTTGGCAATGTCAATGCATCAGAAATTTAAAAATCTATTTCTGAAAGAACTTCAAGAAAGATCTTTAGAAACAAAGTCATGTGAAACCAAATTTCAGCTTTGCTTTTTATCCCTATGTTAACCGTAACAAGTGCCTTTCTGACATTGATATTCCCTTAACAGTTCAAAAGTAGCTGTAGTTACCAGGTTTGGAACCAATGTTTGATACAGTTAGAAACTTTTGAAGAGTTTACCTTAGAATGCTTTTGTTTTATCTTTCTGAGGTGACAATCTCATGCAGTTCAGGCTGGTCTTAAAAGTCACTGTGTGGCTTAGGCTGGTCTTAAACTCAGTGATCCTCCGACCTCAGCCTTGAGTGCTGGGGTTATGGGTGTACACAATCATGTTAGGCAGAACAGCTACGTATTTTTTTTTGAGACAGGGTCTCACTGTGTAGTTAGGTTCTCCTTGAACTTCTGGCAATCCTCCTGTCTCAGTCTTCCAGGTACTTGCACACAGGCATGTGCCACCACACGTAGCTAAACAGCTACATTTAAAACCAAATTTAGTGGTGTTAACTCTGTACAACATAAACTTCAACTAAAAAGTTTGTGTTTGTTAGGCTTGTATCTACATATCCTGCCTCCCCGCCCAAAGACTCACGTTTTGGGGGCAAAGCTATCTGTACCCTTGGTATCCAGGACAAGGCTACTGCCTTCCGAGTTTGGCAGGGCCCCATGAGAAGTATGCACAGCTCAGGGAGTTGATGCATAGTAACTACAACTTTGCTTGAGATAGTTTTCTTTTGTTCCTGTGAAGCCACCAAGACTTGCTGTTCTGCTAATAGGTTTTCTTCCTGTTTCAGATTCTACCCTCCCCTTAATCTCTCAATGAACTTATTCACATGCTGATTGTATAAATAACTCTACAGGTGCTGGGTAGTTTGCATTCTGCTATCAGGAGAAAGGGCTCCCCTGACCTCAGCTTTTGTATATTGATTCCTATCTTCTCCATCCCCTGCAGTCCTCCCTCTGAAGTTTCAGGAGCTGCACAGGACACAGTGCTCATGTACTCATAGGTGAGACTTTCTGGAGGTGGATGGATCTAGTTGTGTGAATGTGGGTTATGGGTGTGATACAGGCTGAACATGGTGGCACACGTCTATAGTTAATCACTTTGGAGGCTAAGCCAGGAGGATGGCCATGAGTGTGAGGTTGGCCTGGGTGACACAGTGAGACTCTGCTTCAAGAAAAATTTTTTAAATTAAAAAAACCCGAGACTTCCAGGAGAACATGGCGGACAGATAGCAGCAGGTACGGAGGCTCTCTGAAAGACACAGCTTAGAATTCAGGAATGGTGTGGAGTAAGGAATCACAAGCAAGTGGAGATATGGCCTGCTGACCCAAGAACGAACTGGGCTGAGAGAAACCAACTGGGAATGCAATCCTGTGCTATAACAGGAACAGAAAAGCCTCACTGTGGAAGCTGGAGCCCGCGCCATTGGAAGCCGCGATTTGGGTTTCCCACCACTGCCGCTGTGTCTACATCGGCTCGGCAAGGAGAGAGATGCACGAAAGCTCTGAGAATGGGAATTTGTGAACGGAGTTGAAAGCAGGACGGGCAGGGAGCTGTGCATTGACTTGCAGTGAGGGAGAGAAACTGGGACTCTTCCACGATTTAGGAGACTCCAACAGAGGACATTCTGGGACCAGGCAGACTTGCGGAAACAGGGCGCTGCAGTGACTTCAGCCACGGATCCCCCTCTCAAGCAGGATTGGTGAGCAGTGCCTAGCCTACGTGACGCTGCTGGCTGAGACCCAGTAGGCTAGCACAACCCAGATCCCAGCGCCTAAAGGTGACCTGGGACGGGCCCCACATAGGCTGCCTGGTCTGCAACTTCCTGGTCGCTGCAGTGGGTGGGAACACCTAGACGGCGCAATTCAATCAGACTGTGGCTGACAGGGAAGGAAGCTGGGCCTCCTTTATACGCTTGCATGTATAAGGAACAAAGAATATGGGAAGAGGCAGCAACAAGAAAGGGTCCTCAGCCCCCAATCCTGAGAAAGGCAACAGCAGACACAGCACCAATAGATATAAAGCGTTATCTCCAGAGCCTCATAGACAAGTTCAGGAATGAAGTTATTAATAACCTGAAGCTAGACATAAGCAGAATAGTTAGAGAAATGCTAAGCACCACCCAAGAAAAAACAGATGGTGGAATGGAAGAACAAAAAAAGAGGGGAGAATTGTTTGATGGAGAAAATAGAGAAAGCATAGAATACGTGAAGCAGGTTCAAAGAGATTACCAGGAAACTAAAAAGTCTATCGAAAACTGGCATAACAGCTTGAAAGAAACTAAGGACAGATTATCTGAACTGGAGGGCAGGTTTGTAATATGGGAGCATGAAATGAAAACTTCTTAAGAATAACAAAGAAACAGCAATAATACAAAGACTAGAAGATGATAAGAGGGTCTATAACTTAAGAATTAAGAACATAAGAGAAGAAGTAGGGACACAATCAAATGAACTACAAAAGCTACTCGCAGAAATAATCCAGGAGAATTTTCCTAATTTAGCAAAAGGTAAAGATACTCAGTTGTATGAAGCATACAGGACCCCAGCCACCTACAACCCAAACAGAGCAACACCCAGGCATATAATAATTAAAATTCCAGAAATCCAATACAAGAACAGAATTTAAAAGCCGTCAGAGACAAGAAACAGATCACTTACAAGGGAACACCCATCAGAATTACAGCAGACTTCTCGGCACAAACCATCAAATCACGAAGAGCGTGGGGGGAAATAATTCAAGCTTTGAAAGATAATAATTTCCAGCCAAGATTGAGATATCCTGCACAACTATCCCTGCAAATTGATGGAAAAACAAGGTGCTTCCAGGATAAAGAGGAACTAGGGGAATATGCAACCACCAATTCAACTCTACAGAGAATACTGCAAGATATTCTAAAAAAGAAAAATACGAAGAATCCATAAGTAGCGGCAGAGAGACCACAATGAATGCAGCAGAAAGCAAAATGAAGAAGACAAACTGACAACTAATAATAGAAAAAGAGCTCAACAGAAATGAGGCAGAGAAGATTGGATGATAGGAACAGCTATTTTGGAGAAAATGACATCTTAAGAGGTAATACTGATTTAGTATCATCTTGTTTTGAAGTCTCATCAAGCTTTTGTTCTTCTGTCTCCATTGATCTAAACAGGTGGTATCTTATTGGATTTTATTATATATGATAGTATAAGCAAAACCTTTTATAGACAAGGAGATTATAGAGAAACCATTGTTTATTTTCTTAGTTGATTCTAAATACCCTGTAATACTGTCATTCTCTTCAATGGTTTTACATTGTTTTGATATATTTAATGCTACAGTATACGAAGTTATACTCAAAAGATTTTAAGGAAAGAGACAATATGGTAACTACTTTTATGTCAGGATTATCTTGTAGTGAAACACTATTTTGCTTAAATGGTTATGTTTTGATCTGCGCTGTTTTGCTGTTATGCCCTCTTTTATCTCAATCTCCACTTTATTATTTACTTTTTTATTTTTATCCTTTTAATTAAGGGAAAAATAAATAAAAAATAGCAGGATATATTATAGTAACCCACTTGGACTTTCCATTATCTTGATTTAAAGCCCTGTATTGCTCTCACCATCTTGTTTTGACTGATGTCCCTCTATTCTGTTTTGCTTGATAGTACCAGTTTCGAAAGTTTAGGCAACAGCTGTGAAGATAGTGGGATTCATTATGACGCCCATTCTGGTTGACTATTATCTACTTCTGAAGACCTATAATGTTTTCAATGTTTTGGTTCTGTCGGTTTTATTCTTTACTGTTTTGTTCAGTTTTATTATAACTGATGATAACTGATCTATTAGAGATAGCGGGAGGCATTATGGTAACCATTGTTGATCACCTTGTATTATGCTTTTACATTATCTATTATGTCCACCCTTTTGTTTTCACTGACTCTGTTCTGTTATGTCACATTTGGTTCTACTCTCTTCCAAAAAAGTAATAAGAACTGTGGGAGCAACAAAACCCAAAATGTGTAATTGTCATTGTACAAAAGAGAGGAAAAGAAAGTGCTCTAAATGATATAACTGCATGTATATTTAAGTGTGTAAGATAGATAATGATATCACTGAGTTTTGTTGGATTATTGAACAGAACTGTTTGCAGTCTCACTGTTGGAATGTCCACTTTATAAGCTTTAATTTTGTAACTTGAACAATTATTTCTAAGATGACAAAATGTAATCCATTAACTAGTGATTTCCTACTGTTTATTTTTTTCTGTAAATCTGTATAACTTGTACCCTTTCTCTGCTTTTTTTTTTCTCCTTAAATAAAATTAAAAAAAAAAAAAAACACAAAAACGGGGCTGGAGATTTAGCTCAGCGGCATAAGCACCTGCCTTGCAAGCAGGCAGTCATGAGTTTGATTCCCGGTACCGATAAAAAGGAAAAAGACCAAAAAAAAAAAAAAAAAACAGGTATGGGCCAGAGGTTTAGCTCAAAGGCACAAGCACCTGCTTGGCAAGGGCAAGGTCGTGAGTTTGATCCCCAGGACCAAATAAATAAATAAATAACAGGTATGATATTAATATTAAGGTTGTATAGTGCTAGATCAGTCTCCTAGTTGGCTTAGCACAGTTTTGGGCGTGGGTGATAGGAAGGCCCACCCTCGGTGTGGTATAGCCTGGATGGCATATAAAGGGAGGCGTCACTGCCTGCTGACTTCTACCTGGCCTGCTACCCCATGAGCTGTTTCACCTCTGCATTGTTCCTTGACCATTCTATCATGCCTTGAAGTCAGCTAATTCTGTGGACTGAACCCTCTACAAACTATGAGCTGAAATAAACTCTCTTCCTTTAATTTTGGATGCCAGGTATTTTGTCTCAACCATGCAAAAAAGTAATTTAAGACAATGTAGAGGGGGCAGGGATCTAGCTCAGTGACATGAGCATCTGCTGTCAAGTGCAAGGTCCTGATTTTAGTTCCTGGTACAAAAAAAAAAAAAAAAGAAGAAGAAAAAGACATTGTGGAATACAGAATTGTGAATATGTCAGGTGGGATTAGACCTATAACTTGGGAGGCTAAGACAAGTTCGAGCCAGCTTGGGCTATACAGTGAATTCAAGGCTAGCTTGCATTACAGAATGAGTGAGGCCTTGTCTCAAAACAAACAAACAAACAAAACACCCAAAAAACTAAAAACTCCCTCAAAAAAAGAATTACAAATAAATCTACTGGAATCAGAGTAAACTAAAAATCTTTTTGTCTTTTTTCTTTTGTCTTTTTGAGACAGACTCTCGTCATGCAGTTCAGGCTGACCTTGAGCTTACTTTGTAGACCAAGCTCGTCTTGAACTCACAACGATCCTCCTGCCTGCGACCCCAGAGTGCTGGGATTATAGGAGTGCGCCACCACGCCCGGCTTCCATTTACTCTTTTTTTGGTACCAGGGATCGAACTCATGACTGCGTGCTTGCAAGACAGCCGCTTATGCCACTGAGCTAAATCCCCAGCCCTGTAACTTAGTGTCTTAATGAGACTTCTCTCAAAATAAAAACTGCAGTTCAGTGTGCAGGCCTGAGTTTAATCTTCAGTACCACCAAAGGGGGAGGTGGTGATGATGGTAGGGATGGCAGCTCTGTGTAGGATAATAATGTCTGTTCCTACCATAAATGAAAATGTAAGAATGTTATGTTAGCCAGACATGGTAGTACACTCTTGTAATCCTGGCACTCAGGAGACTGAGGCAGGAAAAGCACCATGAGTTCAGGGCCAGCCTGGGCTACATGGTGAGTTTAAGGCTAACCTGAACTGCATAAGGAGATTCTCTCTGGGAAAAAAAAGAAAAAAAGAATATTATATTGAGCAGCTTTCTCTACCCCTGAATTAGACCAAAATATAACTTGGATATTTTGTTTCATGTTACAAATTCTCTAAGGTTCACCAAGCCAAATGTAAAGGATCATCATAGTACCTATCAATTTCATCTTCAAATTCATTTGTAAAAATCACTAACGGTTGTCTCTATTAAAGGAGCCAGACAATCACCAGGAATCTTACCTCTGTAATCTTTTCTAGTAGAGGTTCACCATGAACATCCATCTCAGATGCGTGTACCATGGCTTTTGTTTTTAGGAGATAGCTGCACAGAAAACAAAATATTGGTATTTTGCCACAGTGAAGACTCTCAGTGAACCAAGCTTACCCTCTAAAGCACACATCTGTCAAGCAAATTCTGCCTTTTTACCAAGTTCCATTTTAAGATTCATGATGTATTTTATTAGAAAAACAAATTCATAATAAATCTGAGAGACTCTATGCCTCATACTACCCCTTCCCAAAAACAAAATTATCTCCAGATAAAATGAAGACCAAAATAAGGTTATATGTTATTCAATCATGATGAGTATAAGCTTTACTCCATCAGTAGATTCTATGGCACAGTTTGAAGTCATGTGACAAATCATGTTGGTTGCTCAGCCAGTATCATTTCCTTACTTCTTACTAACACAATCCAGATTTGTCTACCATAGGCATGTGCCTCATCCTAAGTGCTGGGTCATAACTGTTCAAAGCAACACAAAAACAAACAAAAACCCCCACCAAAACAGCAACAACAAAAAAAAAACCCAAACTTCAAAGCCACCTGTGACCCACTGTCACATACTTGCCTCTCAGCTTAAGGTAACATTGTGACACAGTTGTAGCTGACTTTGTCACCAAGACCACCTACAAATGACATGTCTCTGAGTCCCACCCAAATTCCTAGGGTGGGAAATCTGCTTGGCCCCTCTTGAGTTACCTGTGAATTGTGCCATGCATGCTATCACCATGGAAGTTCAGAGACAGATCACAGCACAAATGGAAAAGGTGTTCGTGGCAACATTATTTTGTAAAAGCTTACCTTCCAGAATATCCTCAGCCCATTAATGGGCTGAGGATTCAGCTCAGTGGCATAAGTGCCTGCCTGGCAAGCGCAAGGTCATGAGTTTGATCCCCAGTACCAATAAAAAAAAAAATTAAATTAAAAAAAAAACTCTCAGGATATCCTTTAATGAACTACCCTCTGAAGTATTCCATGTTACAGATATTAAGATATGGTATGATTAGAAGACACTGAAAATGCTGTGCCAGTATGAGATCAGATTCTGAGTCTGGTGTTATCTTTCTTATAAAAGAGAATACCTGGATTATCATTTTCTTTTTTTTGAGACAGGGTCTCACTTTGTAGCCCAGGTTGGCCTTGCACTCATGGTTATTCTGCCTTAGCCTAAATGTTGAGATTACAGGCGTGTGCCACCATGCTCAGCTAGCATTTTCTGTGCTACATATAGTTTGTCTTTTCCTGAAAGATCTTGTAAATCATATTTGACAATATTTGTCTACTCACCAACTCATCTTATCACTGTAAAGACAGAAATAACCTCTCAGGGGAGCCAAAGCAGCATGCGTGGAATACAGATGAAAACCAATGAGAATCCCACAGGAATTGCAGAATAACTGGTTATAAGTGCTGGGGAAGAAGCAGAATAAGGCTAAGAAAGAAAATCAGGTAACAAAAGTAACCAGTATATGGAAGTATTTCTATCACAATACAAGAAAGCTATATTATAGCTTTCAAATGACATATATACTACAATAGAAGAAAACTATACTAGAATAGGAATGCAAATGAAATAATGCTACATTAGGTTAGCTTAGGTTTTAAGGTTATTACACCTTAAATTATGCAAACCTTCTTGAAGTGTGGCCATAAATGCAATCATGGATGTACAACTGACATTTAAGTAGAGAAAAGTAATTTACCTCTGGGGCAGAAAACAGCTAACTAATCAGAGTATCATTAAAAAATCTTTTTTTTTTGGGGGGGGGGTCTTTTTCCTTTTTATCGGTACCAGGGTTCGAACTCACGACTGCCTGCTTGCAAGACAGGCGCTTATACTGCTGAGCTAAATCCCCAGCCCCTAAAAAAATCTTTAAAACACAATTGCTATATTTTAAATCACTATCATGTCAAATTGATAGTTGATGCAAAATAATCAAGTTGACTAGGAGGCTTACAGAATAATTTATTAATAGAACTCAAATCTGCATTATTTATGCAGATATTCTTAAAAAGTTGTTCGTTTGTTTGTTTTTGAGACAGGATTTCACTATGTCCACTGCCTTCACACTGAGCAACAGTCCCATCCCTTTTTACTTTCTAATTTAAGACAGGATATCAGTAAGACCCTGAATTCCCTGGAGTGGGCTCAAACTTGCAATCCTCTGCTTCAGCCTCCAAAAGTGCTAAGATTTTGGGTGTGCACCACTATGCCCAATTGAGTTATATCTTTCCAAAAGAAAAAAAGCTTCTATCCAATACAGATTCTCATAAAAGTTAATTATGAATGGAATGATACAATTTAAGGTATCTGCTTCAAACACAAGGCTGAAGGGAAGTAATTATGATCATAGATGAAACAAGATGGGACATAAATTGATAAATGTTTAGTTCAGCAATAGTGTCTAGTTTCATGATACTCTTTTTTGAGTTTGCCATAACAATTAAAAAAGAATACACTTTACTTATCATAAACATAAGGAAAGTTTCACTTAAGTAAACATTCTGTTGAGCATAGTTGAAGTTCAGGGTAACAATGTTCTTTTTTTTTTTTTGAGACAAGGTCTGGCTATGCACTTCTGGCTGGCCTTGAACTCAATTTGCAGCCCAGGCTTGGTCTCAAACTCACAATGATCCTCCTGCCTCAGCCTCCTGAATGCTGGGGATTACCAGGCGTGTGACACCACACCTGGGAACAAGGTTATTTTCAAATGCCATAATTACTCTCTTGCTCAGTGGATACTCTGTAAGAAAGGTAAGGTTGGCTTTTTTTTTTTTTGGTCTTTTTTCCTTTTTATCGGTACCGGGGATCAAACTCACGACTGCCTGCTTGCAAGGCAGGCACTTATGCCGCTGAGCTAAATCCCCAGCCCAAGGTTGGCGTTTTTGATCTCTAGTTTTCAGGGCTGATTATTTTGCCTTTAGGACTTCTTTTCAGGAAAAAGAATACAAATTTAACTGTTTGGTTTCATTAATGCATCAAAAACAGAAGTCAGATAGGTTCAGGATGCAGCCTATTATTCAAATATAGTATGTCAGCAATAAAGTTTCCTTCTACTGCAATGCCGTTAACAATCCGTTTCCCACTCCAGGTCTCATAGAGAATAGAGCTCCATCTGAGCTCTTGATAAGTACAGTACCTGCACTTGAGCAAACCCTCGATGCCAACCAGAAAAGGGTCTTCCAACACGACGTTTTTTGTGACTTCTAGAAAACAAACACGGGTCAAATATGTAATTGTAAGACTCTTAGAAAGGAAAACCTCTCGTCTAGACAGACACACCGAGCAATGAAGAAGAAAAAGGGGCGTAGCTCAGTTAGAGCGCTATCCCAGAGCGCGCGAGGTCCAGGGTTCGATTTCCAATACCAAAAGCGAGCAAAAACCAAAATAAAACTACTTTCCTTGGGTACAGTTTGATCTTCCGAACCCTCACCTCGTTTCTGCGCCCAGCTAGTTCCCCGCCAGCAAGTGGCCCGCCTCTACCTCCGTAGCGCTGCCCACTCACTGGAGAAGACCACGGCCCCGAGGGTCCTCGACAGATTCCAGGCGAGGTTCACCGAATCGCCGATCACGGCGTGGCACTGCGCGCACTGGAACACGGCGCACCTCTCCGGCTGCAGCCACGACGGCAGTCTCGGGCCTGTGGGCTGCTCGCCCCTTAACCCCGTGGAGGCGACCGGCGAGGACCCCTTCACCACCTGCGTATCCCACTCCATGGAGGTCGTCGAGCCTGGCTCGCTAATCGTCTCCTTGGCGGCATCGCGAAAGCTGCCCGAGGAATACACGGTAGACGTTAAGCTACACGTCCCCGACTGCGCCGCCATTCCTCGCTGTCAGCGCCGGGGCTTCAAATTTGCACCAGGTCCCGCCCCGGAGCGCCTTTTCGGGCTTCATTGGCCAGGATAAACCATAGGCGTTCCCGCGCGGTCTTTTCCTATATTAACGGCCCTCCTTTTGGCGTCTGCGTAGTGAGGTGTAAGTGCGTGGGTGGGTGGGAGAAAACACAGTCCTCGGAGTGTTGGATACCATCCTTTCTATTGGCCAGCCTCGGAAACCCCGCCCTTGAGTCATTTGTGACCAATAAAATTGCAGCATGCTTTATTTTAAACTGACTATAAAGTTCTGTTGGAGCTCAGCCTCGGGTGGCGCCAGAGTTTTGAACGCCGCACCTCGAATCAGCTTCCTGGTCCTCTGAGGTGTATCGTTTGGAGTACTAGAACACAATGACCGTCCCCTCCGCGGAGGAATTGGACTCCTTCAAATACAGCGATCTTCAGAACTTAGCCAAGAGACTGGGCCTCCGGGCTAACCTGAGGGTAGGAGCAGACGTGCGGCGGTTGGGCGGTGGGTGCGGCTCGCGGTAGTTGGGATTCTGTGGAACTGGAGAGGAGCCATCATTGTCACCCTAACGTGTGGCCGACGTTTCTGGAGGCTTATGGAGGCCTCTGTTCCAGAGGGGTCAGGTTGATTTTATTGAAAGCGCTCTGGTGTTTCCCAGGCCCAGAAGGCGCCAGGATATTAAACGAATGCCAGTTGTGAGACACCTGAGAAATAATTGTCTCGGCTCTGGAAAACTACAAACTGTAGGAGTTCTGTGAATTGCGACAGTGCCCAGAATCGCTTGATACATTATGACTTTTACAGGGTCAGGTATATAGATAAGTTGATAGCTCAACCTGGTCTAGTACAAGCTTTTATTTCTTCATCACTGCTGTGGTGTTGTGCTTCAAACAGGGTAAATTTGCAAAGCGTTGCGGAAAACTGTGGGAATTCAGAATGGTTTTAAATATTGTAATTGCGATTTCTCACGTAATACTAATGTATTATACTCCAGAGATTTACACTGCAGGCTGTGCTGTTCACATTGAATCGGTGAAATGGTTTAACAAAATAATCAAGACTTAGGCACCTCTCGGGTCTGTCTGAATGATAACGGCATGTCCTCTTTGAACTATAGTGGTTTTTGTTTTGTGTGTTTGTTATCGGGATTGAATTCTGGGCCTTCATACCGAGCTCCTTCCCCAGCCCTTTATTATATCATTGTCGTTGTTATCAGAGATGGTCTAAATCACTAGCTTGCCCAGATAGGATTCTCTTGCCTCAGCCTCCCAGAATGGTTGGATTACAGGTGTGGACCAATTTGGTGTGCTTTATGAATAGAGCCTTAATTACTTAGGTCCCATAGCTTTTGGGGGTGAAGGGTAACAGAGAATCAAACTCAGGACCTTTGGCTGACAGGCGCTGTGCTGCTGAGCTATACCCCCAACCCCAGTCTGGGTCCCATAGCTACTTTTTGCTGCCTATTTGTCTGTTATCAAATTACACACACAACTGTCCGGCATTTTTATCCATCTGTGCTATTTTCTATTTTGACCTTTTTCCATTCTCTCTCCCTTTTCATGTGCATGAATACTCTCCACCATCTAACTGAAATGTCACTGATATGACACTTTGTCCCCTTCTCTTTGTTCCCTTGGCCACAGGTTTACCACTCAAGCCACCTGAGAAGCCCTCGGTGTTTGTTAGTGTTTTCAAGTGTTCTCTTTAAGGATTTGTTAGGTTCTACCTAGCAATCTGAAATTAATTTCCTTTCTTTGTGATTTCACCCACCTGAGAAATATATACAGCACTAAGTGTTGTACGTTTTATTTAGGAGATGCTGGGTAATTACTTAAAACTATACAGTACTTGTGGACACTATTAGAATAATACATCAGAAGATCATTTGGTTGGCAAGAGAATTTATGTGGCTAGCCTAACACTGAAGAATTGGAGGCCAACCTAGGCCACATAGTGAAACAATGCTGTCTTTTTTTTTTTTTAAAAAAAAAAGACATGTGTGGGAGGCCTCCTGGCCTGAGTTCAGACACAGTTGTGGAATCTCTGAAGAGCTCCTGCAAGTTAAATCTTTTTCTGAAAGTTCTGCCATCATTATCTCTTGAGCCATCTGATCTGAGTGTCCAAATAATTACTCTTTTCTTGGAGGCAGTGAATTTCTTATCACAGTATCTGGTACATTGTAGGGTTTTGTAAGTTTTCCAGGCCGGCTTCCAACTTGTGATCATCCTGCTTCAGTCCTCATGTAGCTGGGACGATACATAACTTTCTCACTTTTGAGAAAAATTGTTTCCTATCTTCTGCCTGAAATTGGTTCCTTCCCAGCTGATTTTTCCTAATAAGTCACAGGAAAATAGATGCAATCAACTGAGAATTACATCATCTTTCCACCCAGGGCCCTCCAGCCAACCTGTACCTGCATGGTCTGCCTCCCTTGGTTTTTCTTTCTTTGTTTTGTTTGTTTTGGTACTGGGGATTGAACTCAAGACCGAGTACTTGCGCGAGGCAGGCACTTATCCTGAGCTAAATCCCCAGCATGGTCTGCCTTCCTTTCCTTCATAGTGAAAGGTTATACCTGTGGGAAACCTTGCTACTTAAGCCAAAGATCCCAGGCCTTTTGTCCTTGCTTTTGAAAATACCTGCTGGGACAGTTCTTCACTCTGCTGGGTCACTGCCATGCGTGCATGGTTATACCCTGCTCCCATTGCTTGCCCCATTCTCCGCTTTTGTTACTAAAATTTATCATATCAAGGCCAGCATCTTACAAAGTCTGTGTTCCTCCTCTGGCCCATGGCATTTGGCATGACTGACCCTTTCCACCTGCTCAAACCATTTCTTTTTCCGTATGTCTTAAATTTTTAATTTTCTCTTATTTTTTGTATTTTCTAGTGTTCTTGGCTAGGTTTTCCTCTATAAACCTCTAATGCAGAATATCCTAAGTTTCTCTCCTTGACCTTTTTCTGTGTCCTCTCGTTGATTTTATCTACTTCCATAACTACATTCATCTAGCAGCTAATACCTCCCAAATCCATGTCTCAGGCCAGGGATGTAGGTCAGTGGTGTAGTGTTTGCCTAGCAAGTGCAAGGCCCTGAATTTGATTCCTGGTACCAAAAAAGAAAAAAGACCAAATCTATGTCTCCCAGAGGGGCTGACTCCCATCTTAAGGGGAATGTTGTATAGCACAGTCAGTTCCAAACACTTGTGGCCTCCTCTGTCTCTGTGTGCTTTTGGCCCACTTTAGACCCCCTTTGATCCCTCCCTTCACTACCTACACCCACCATAGCCAGTCAGCACCTCAGCGTACTCCTGCATTCTCATCTCTGATCGCCACCCCAGCACTGCATTGCCCTCCACAGCACTGCCTATTGGTGAGGCCCTCAGGCGCCCTGCTAGGCTTGCAGCCTGTGCACAAACTCACAGTAATAAAGTCTCAGGGGTCTGAGGGCTTTTTGGAGCTTAGAACAAGTCATTTTCTACTCATTACCTTCCAGTGACTTCCCACACATCTAAAATAAAATCTGGCCACACGCTATAGCACACACCTGTAATTCCACCTGCTGTTGAGCCCGGAGGATTGCAAATTCCATGCCAGTCTGGGCAATTTAGGGAGACCCTTTCCCAAAATAAAAAATCCTGAGGATATAGCTTAGTGCTAGGCCCTGAATTTAATACCCTCCTCCCCTCCGTATGGCAAAAAATAAATTGGATTAATAAAATTCAGACTATACCAACTTTCATGTAAGAACTTTGATCCTGGAGCTGGGGAGTTAGCTCAGCGGCATAAGCGCCTGCCTTGCAAGCAGACAGTCATGAGTTCGATTCCTGGTACCGATAAAAAGGAAAAAGACAAAAAAAAAGAAAAGAAATAAAAGAACTTTGATCCTGATTTAGAGAAAAACATACTTTTAAACATAAAACCAAAATTGGAGATAGTCAGATGGAGCAACATAGTTCCGTAATTCCAGCACTCAGCGAAATTTGTTCCACACATCTTATTATTGGACTTCAGTTCTAATGATAAGATCTTTTTTTGCAGGCAGACAAGCTGTTAAAGGCTTTGAAAACCCACCTTAAACAGAAAGCAAACAAAGAAAATAAGAATCAGGTGAGTAATATCTTTAGCATTATGAATGGTAAAACAATCATGTTTTGTTAATCCCCCAATTAGCAATGATTTAAATCAAGACATGCTGCTTGTTACCAAACATCATTATTGGTGATAGTGCCTAGGAATGAGTCCTTTGATAATTATGTATTACAAATGGTGAGACGGCTTGTGGCAGAAGATGTCCTTACACAGCTGCAGAAGTTATGTACTACATGCCAAATGTGAGAGATAGAGATACCTTGATTCAGTAGGGAGGGAATTGCATTTGAAGTCAGACCTTGGCTACTCTCATTTCTTTATTTGGCTGCAAAAAATGCAAATTCTCTTTTTCAAAATGGAAATCTTATGTGTTCTGCTGAATAAAAATCTGCATTTATCACAGCTGCTTCAGACCCAAACCACAGACTAGGTAAAGTGTGATGTGTAGATGGAGCAGTGGGCAAGACTCCTGACTTGAAATTGAGGAAAATGTTGCAAGCCCCTAAGAACTTGAGGGTGTTGGAGAGATTGCTAAGATATTTGGAAATGAAGGTAAATATAAACGCGAGCTGAAAATCAAACTTCATCCTGTCTTTGCAATCTCTATAGCTCTAATTCTACTCTATAAACATTTCAAAACTTTGTGGTAGAGTACTCGCCTAGCATATGCAAGGCCTTGGGTTCGATCCCTGGTATTGCCAAATTTGCAGTGCTGGGGATCAAACCAAGGCCTTGTGCATGCTAGCCAAGCACATTTCCACTAAACTCTATCCCATTCTTTAAAGCTAGAATTCAAAATGCATTCTTAGTGCCAAGCATGTAGCTCAATGATAGACTGCTACCTAGCATGCACGAAGTATTTAGTTGGACTCTCAGCCCTGTCAAAAAATCTATTTTTAGCCGGGTATGATGGCGTACACTTATAATCTTAGCACTTAGGAGGCTGAAGCAGGAGGATTACTGTCAGTTCAAGGCCAGCGTGAACTACAAAGTGAGATCCTGTATTAAGAAAAAATTTTAAATCTTTTTTTTTTTTTTTTTTAATTTTAAATCTTTTTGAAATTTAAAAAAATTTTTTTTGTTTGTTTGTTTGTTTTATTTTTTTCCTTTGTATTGGTACCGGGGATGGAACTCACGACTCTCTGCTTGTAAGGCAGGCGCTTATGCCGCTGAGCTAAATCTCCAGTCCCTGAAATTTTTAAAATTTTTGAAAAATTTTTTATATAAGCCAGGTGTGGTGGCGCACTCTTATAATTCCAGCACTTGGGAAGCTGAGGCTTCCCAAGCCTCATTTTAAGTTTGAGACTAGCCTGGGCTACAAAATGAGTTCACGGCCACCCTGAACTGCATAGTGAGACTGTCTCAAAAAAAGTTTCTGGGGCTGGGGATTTAGCTCAGCGGCATAAGCGCCTGCCTTGCAAGCAGGCAGTCGTGAGTTCGATTCCCGGTACCGATAAAAAGGAAAAAGACCAAAAAAAAAAAAAGTTTCTATATTAGCCAGGTGTGGTGGCTCATGCCTATAATCCCAGGACTCAAGAGCCCGAGGCAGGAGGATTGTTGCAAGTTTGAGACCAGCCTGGGCTACAGGGTGAGCTCAAGGCCAGCCTGAACCACATAGTGAGACCCTGTCTCAAAAAGACACACAATAATGACAAAAAAATTCCTATATTGTTGGTGGTGAAGATATCTGTATCTTGAATATCTAGGACAACGCAACTGCTTCTCTTGGGTCTGGTAGGGCCCCATGAGAAGTGTGCACAGCGTAGGGAATGGATGCACATAGAAACCTGACCCTTGCTTGAGATACTATAAACATTTCCTCCCTTGTTCTTCATGAAGCCACCAAGACATGTTGTTGTACTGGATTGGACTTTCTTCTTGTCCCAAATCCTACCTTCCCCTTAAACTCTCTGTGAACTTATTCTTATGCTGATTGTATAAATAAATGCACTGTGGGTTCTGGGGAGTTCCTTTCTCCCATCAGGAAAAGGGGCTCCACCTGACCTCAGCTTTTATATATTGATTCCTGTCCTCATACCTTGCAGTCATCTCTCTGAAGTTTCAAGAGCTGCACTAGACGAGGCACTGTATCGTTAAAATTATTACCCCATCTTCCTTCTCCCCTGTAGCTAAGGATTCATGCTTATAAAGCCATCTGAAATCAAGATTTTTACTTTGGGGGTTGGGGATACAGGTCAGAGGTAGCATGTATAAGGCCCTTGGTTAGATCTCCAGCACTATAAAAACAAAAGATTTGGGGTTTTTTTGTTTGTTTGTTTGTTTCAGAGATTGAATTCACAACCAAGCAAGTGCTTGAATCACTGAGCTAAATCCCTAGCCCAAAACCAAAAGATTTTACATTGGGTAATAATAGACTAAACTTAAAGTGATGCATTATTTCAAATTTATCATCTGGAGCTGTTTCATTTTGAGCAGGGTAATAGTAAAAGTTGCATCAGATGTGGGATTCCTACCTAAGTGATAAATCTGGTAATGATCTTAGGTGACTGGATATAGAAAGCCCTTGGATAAATCAAGAGAATTAATTTAGGATACAAAAAATGTACTGACGGAGTCCAATACATGGAAAAGACATAATTAGTCTTACCCAGGATAAATATGTGTAAGTTCTGGATCCCCAAATCATTGCCCAGGGAGTGCATGGCCAGAGAGTCACACTGGCTCCTGGAGGCCGCTTTCCACTGCAGACTCTTCTGACCTCCAGAGGTAGAACCTCTCTGGATGTAGATTATGGTGTGCTGGGGGACTCCCTTCTGTGAGCTGTGTGTGCCTCTGCCATCCCTAGACTCGGTACACACACTGCTCCCCACTGTTCTCAGATGCCCAGGCTGACAAGCTGGGCAGGTATGAGCAATTAAAACATGCCGCCTCAAGAACACATGTCATTGGTGTTAAAACCAGCTAGAGGACTTGTCCTAATAATTGGCCTAGGACCTGTGCTGGGTGGGAAAGGGACAGGGATAGTGAGTAAAAATGTCTTTGTGGACCAAGGATGTAGTTCAGTGGGTCAGCACCTGCCAAGCACAAGGCCCTAAGTTTCCTGGTACCCATCAAAACAAAAGAAACAAAAAAAGTGTTTCTGTTTAGACCAGCAATATGTAAAACCCAGTGGTACCACTGTTCTTGTAGAAAGTATCTGTTCTTTTATTTTCTTCCCTGGAAAGTGGTGTCCAGGTAGCCTCTCTCCACTCTCATGAAAATGACTCCTTTAAAATTTTGCTTAGCTCTTCTCATCACTTATCTCTGATCTCTGCTATGTAGTTCAGGCTGGATTCACTACGCAGCCCAGGCTTGCCTCAAACTCATGTCAACCCTCCTGCTTCAGCCTTTCGAGTGCTAGAATAACAGATGTGCACCACCGCACTCAGCTGCAATCATGTTTGCAGCCGTAGGTCTTGACCTTTTTGGGGAGAGTTCAAAGGTCCATCATGATGTCACTGCCACACCTTTGCCTGTGCTCCTTAACCCTAGGACTGTTAGTTGCTGGTGTTCACTAGTCACCTGTTTCCTTGGGCTTCTCTTCACATGGAACTATTCCACTTCACAACACTTCACTTCTGTCTAAAGCCTTCCGCACTGGAAGCATCTTTATTATTTTATTTGCAACATATTTGTTTTTTTATTAACTGATTTTTAATAACATGACATAAAACCCCTAGACTTGACATAATCCTTGTAAAATACATAGATGAATCCTGCCTTCTAAAAATATAAAATAAATAAGCAAAGGCATGTGAAAATAGGCAAGTTTCTATTAAATGAATGAAAATAAGTTTTCCTTTCCATGTTATTTGAAGGGAAATTATCACTTTAAACAATATTCAAGTCTATTAAACAAATTTTAAAAGCTATTATAAAGTGTTTAACTTTCGTCAGCTTCAAGGTCTATGTTGCTGCCAAATTTTGCATATAATTGAACTTTCAAGTCTGCTAGCACCTGCTGAATTGATTCTAAAGCATAGATTTCTTAAAATTTTTTCTTTGCTTCTTCTAACATTTCTTGTTTTTTATTTTAATTTTTTAAATTTTACTTATTTATTTATTGGTACCAGAGATTGAACTCATGACCTCACATTTGCCAAGCAGGCACTTAAGCCATTGAGCTATACCTATGGCTTTTTTTTTAATTTTAAAGAGGGGAAGAAAAAAACCCCGAAAAATCAAGATGCAAACAAACCAAAAAACAACAACAAAAGCAAAACAATGACAACAGAAAACAACAGTAATATAGGGTTTCAAAACAAGATGATAGGAATTTGATAATGGTTGTTATATTACACATTGTTACCTTCAAAATAGTTGCTCAGGTTACCAGATACAGTAATAAAACAATGAAATGGAACAAAACATTGAATTTCAAAATACAGATGAAAATCCTCTTCTGACAGTTGCTATAATGCATATTGTTATCCTCCAAATAGATGCTCAGACTACAGTCAATCCAATGATACCAGCATTAGGTTAGTTTTTTTTTTTTTTTTTTTTTTTTTTTTTACTTCAGTTGCTCTCATCTCAGCCTAAGTTCCTCCAAATCAGCTGGTTGCTTATGGGGCAGAGGAAGTGAGGTGTTGCGCTTCTTGTCTCCCAGCCCTTGCCAACTGGCTCACAGGAAGGCATGGGTTGACTTCTTGGCTCTCCTCTTCACCCGGATGGCTGCCACTGGCTCACATGAGGGCATGAACTGGCTTCTTGATTCTCTTCCCAGCCTGCATGGCTGCCACTGGCCCTACCTTTCCTCATGTTTCTTCTTGAGAATGACTAGTGAAAACATAAAATAATTTCATAAGGTATCATTAAGCAGTTATCATCTGTGCACATGATGCCATCACAAGCATCTTCTAAATTCTGAAGTTGTTTTTTACTTGTTTCTTCCTTTAGTTCTGTGATTCTACTCGTATTCCATGCAAATTTGTTTATCTTTTGTTGATCTTTGAAAGCAACACTGACATCTTCTGCAGCCTGGGCAGCCCAGGATGCATACAGGGACTGCAGGGCCCGACATTGGGCAGGTGGCTCCACCTCAGCCTCAGCCTCTTCCCTGGTGAGTAACAGTACTAGGAACATCTTCCTGCAGACTGGACCGCAAGGGTAGTAGCATAGGTAGGGCACCCAGCATCAAAGCCAAATGCAGCCAATGGGCCTGTTGGCTTCCTGCACCCCTAGGACCAGGCATGAGCCACCAGGCTCCTCAGGGAGAGGTGGCCCCGAGTCTCCCAGGGTGCTGGTGCCAGGAACCCTAAACACTGAGATGCTGGGCTTTGCCTTGGAGCTGTCCACAGGGTTTGGGGCCCTGGGGCTGCACTCCCCACAATATACACACACATTAAGCCCCCCTTTAAGCTCCTCCCCCATGGCCCAGCCATTGCAGTTGCCTATACCCCACACCCCACACAGCACACCCCAACATTTTTTTCCCCTCAATGTAGTGCAGGCTACCCTTACACTCACTTATGTAGCCCAGGCTACCTTCTAATTCCTGAGTGTTGGGATTACAGGCGTGTACCACCACACTCAACCTAACACATTTGTTTTATATTGTAATTCTCAAACATATTTCCCCCAAAATAAGATCTGACTGGAAAATATGCTCTAGGATGATTTTTCAGGATGCTTGTAATATAAGACCTACCCCAGAAATAAGCCCCAGTTAAGACTGTCAGCTGCACACATTTAGTACATCCATTGCAACACACAAATGAATGCACTGAATTATAAAATAATATATAATTAAGTATAAATAATATTATTGATATTAATACTTAAAATAAATGGTAATAAAATGAAATATTTATAAATATCCAAGTGGACACCTTTGGACAAGCGGTAAACACCTGTATAAAGCAACTAGAATATAGACACTGCACAAATAACATGTGCCTTTGATAAAAATGGATGTGGCTGTGTCTCATGAATAATTCAATATGTTATGTGTTATAGTGGATATACTCAATGCACTTGTGTGAAATGTTTTCTGATTTTTTTATTTTGAGACAAGATCTCACTACATGGTCCAGGCTGACCTTGAACTCACTATGTAGCCTAGAGGATCCTCCTGCCTCAACCTCCTGAGTGCTGGGATTACAGGTTGTGTGCCACCAAGCCCAGCTTGCAAATCTGTTTAATTACTAATCAGAGAAAAGTATAATTTTTAACATATAGGTGCTGAGCTATCAAAAATATAAATGAATATGTCATCAAGAGATACCTAGTTGTATATAAATAGCCATTTAAACTAAGCTTAAAAGTAACAATTGTTTTTCACTGTAATCTATTTTTTAGCATTTGGAGTGGTTTGCTTTAGAGTTTTTTGTTTATTTTGTATTTTTGTGCTAGGGATCAAACCCAGGGAGTTGCGTTTGAGGGTTTTGTTTTGTTTTTTAAAGGATATATATGTTGATTTTTTTTTTTCTTTTTCTTTTTATCGGTACCAGGGATCAAACTCACAACTGCCTGCTTGCAAGGCAGGTGCTTATGCCGCTGAGCTAAATCCCCAGCCCCTATGTTGATTTTAAACTAGAGTTTATCCAGGGTTGGTGGTGCATGCCTGTAATCCTAGTACTGGGGAAGCTGAGGCAGGAGGATTGCCATGAGTTCGAGGCCAGCCTGTGCTACATAGTGAGTCCAGGCCAGCCTAAACTATGTAGCAAAACAAAACAAAAAACTGGAGTTGCTTATGAAAAATACATCAAAATCAAATTCTTTTCGGTTTCTGGATACCAGGGGATGCTTTAGAGGCCTTCACAGTCAGAGCAATAATTTGCGTGGTATCTTTCCCTAATGCTGTCTAGTTTTACATTTAAATCTTTCATCTCTCAGATTTCATTTTGGTGTGAGAGAATGGCCAAGTTGTTTCCCACCAAAAATATAAAAACATAGCTAGCTGGGCTCAGTCACATACTCCTGTAACTCCAACACTCAGGAGGCTGAGGCAGGAGGGTTGCCACAAATTCAAGGCTAGCCTGCACTACCTAGCAAGGTTCTGTCTCCAAAACAAACAACAAAAAAAAGCTAACTCATTTGCTTTTTTAATAGTTTATCTTTTTTTTTTTTTTTTTTTTTTTTTTTTTGGTATCGCGCTTCAAACTCAAGATCACGTACTCGCCAGGCAGGCAGGCACTTATGCCACTAAGCTAAGCTTTTTGAAAAAAAAAATTTTCTTTTTTTTTTGAAACAGGGTCTCGCTATGCAGTTCAGGCTGGCCTTGAGCTCACTTTGTAGCCCAGGCTGGTCTCAAACTCGCAATGATCCTCCTACCTCAGTCTCCTGAGTGCTGGGATTATAGGTGCTAATTAGCATTGTGTATTGAATAACAAACATAACTGTCCTTATTAATATGAAGGACAACTTTTATCAGTGATTTGTTGTATAATAGGTCTATTTGGGATCTTCTGATACCTAACCATACAATTTTCATATTGTACCTTCTTATTAACAGTGCTTTGCTTTTCTCTTTTCTTTTCTTTTCTTTTCTTTTCTTTATTACTGCAGAATTGAATCCAAGGCCTTCACACTGAGCCACATTTGACTTGGGATCTCGCTAATAGGCTAAATTGTCCAGGCTGTGCTTGAATTTGCAACCCTCCTACCTCAGCCTTGCATCTGTTAAATTCTGATTCTGAGCATCATAACTCTATAAGTAGGACATGACAGATCAATGTGTTTCTTTTCAGGATGAAAGTCAAGCTTTTCAATCCTCCTGTGATGAGAACGAGGTACAGATTAACGGCAAGGAACAAACCGAGAAGGAGGCAGAGGAACACATCACCAAAACAAGGAGACGTCGCCAGACAGTCTACTGGAACCCCGCGTCCCGGGTGAGCAGGACCTGCAGCCTGTGCTGCCATTGGCGCCTTCTTCGCTGGCTTTGCCTGTTGATTCTCTGGTGATGCTGGGTGGCTGGAGGGTACACAGACATGTGTCATGCCTGATTACTGTGTCCTGGGTCTGGGTACTTGGGAAACAATGACTAAGTATTTAGTGTAAATTAAATATTTGTTGAGCAAATGTGAATGGTCATTAAATGTTTACCAAAGAAAGGTGAAGTAAATAAGGAAAACCAATGGAGCATATTTTTGTTTTGTTTTTATTAGTACATGTTTGCAGTATGTAACATTCACATTCATTTTAGGGAGTAGCTACACATGTACTCAACATACCTTGATTCTTTTTATTCCCCTTCTCTTCTCCCTCCATGTCTATATCCCCTTTCCACTTGGAGAAGTATGGTTTACAATTCCCTTTTTCTGTGTGGCATGGTGGGGCACACCTGTAATCCCAGCACTTGGGAGGCTGAGGCAGGAGGATTGCTGCAATTTTGAGGCCGCCCTGAACTGCACAGCCTGATCCTGTCTCAAAAATAAAAAGTTCTCTGTTTTGTGTATCTTGCCCCTGGCCCAGTCATGTTTGGTCTTTCAACAGCGTGGTAATGTGACTATGGGCTTCTTCACTTGATTCTGGGCAGTCTCTGCATGCAGATGTCACTTTAACCAGGCACAGTCCTACTGTCTTATTTCTTCACTTCACACCCCCCCCCCATCAGCAGACTACCTGGGTCTTACATCACAGGTAACAGAGGTCATCTTTCCGTTCCTTCCGATGGTCCTGAGTATACTCTTTTCCCAGGTTCACATTGTTATGCCACTGGGTGGGGCCGAAAACCAAACCTACCATTCTGTGTCTTACTCTATGTTTGTTTTAACCATTTTGCTTCCTCATTTGGTACCTATCTGTAGAAGGCAGTGATTACTTATTTTTCATTTAAATTACTTATTTCCTTTGTAAATTTATAACAGGAGCATTCTGAGATAAGCCTAAATCATCTCACTGAATCGCAGAATCAAGAAGACCAGGAAAACAGGGAACTTGGAACTACTGGAAAAATCCCTTTTCTATCAGACAAGTGCCTTGGAGAGAAGCATGCAGTTTCCTCAGGAAAAAGTGAAATAAATGGTATGTCAAGACTAAAAACTGCCAGTGCAAGCCAGATGTGGTGGCATATGCCTGTAATCCCAGTACTCAGGAGGCTGAGGCAGGAGGATTACTTCAAGTTTGAGGCCAGTGTGAGCTACAAAGTGAGTTCAAGGCCAGCCTAAACTGCACAGTGAAAGCCTGTCTCAAAAAGACCCAAAAAACAAAAAAAGGAAAAGAAACTTTTATAGCATGTGCCAGGCTGGCTGTGGTGTTGCATGCTTGTAATCCCAGCACTCAGGAGGCTGAGGCAGAATGATCACTGAAGTTCAAGGCTAGCCCGAACTACATAGTAAGACATTGTCTCAAAACAATAACAAAATTGCCAGGTAATTTTTCCCTATGCCTCATTTCATTCTGTAAGTAAGTATCACAAACTGGGCAGCTTAGAACCACAGAGACTGATTCTCTCACAGTACAGGGAGCCCCAAGTCCAGAAGAAGGTGGCAGCAGAGCCATGTGTGTCTGAGACCCCAGTACCTTCCTCACCTCTCCCTTCCTGGTGGGACTGTGGCTTCCTGGTGCTCCTTGGCCTACAGCGTACTGCACTGCTCTCTGTCTCCGTTATAAAGAGCATCCAAGCTCAGCCTGGACTGCAGAGGCTCTGGATCAGAAAAAAAGAGGAAGGTAGAAAGAGTTGTGGCAGAAAGCATAGGGACATTAATCTCTCTGTGGTCACAGGAGAGCTCTCACTTTCATCTCAGTCCCCTTAGCCAACTGTAGAGCAGGGAAATCTGCGGAGTTACTCATTTTTCTTCTTTTTTTTGGCTGGAGAAGTTGTTTGGGGAATCTAAGGATTGAGCCCAGGGCCAGCCACACACTTAGTATGCTGTCTACCTTTGTGCTACATCTCTGCCTGTTTTTAACAAGTCTCTCCAGCTCATTTTGATTCAGGTATTCTCAATGGTGTGTGTGTGTGTGTGTGTGTGTGTGTGTCAGTGTGTGTGTGTGTCAGTGTGTGTCAGTGTGTGACTATGGAGTGAACCCAGGGCTTTTACACTGAGCTATGTCCCCATCCCTTTGTTAGTTTTTAATTTTGAGACAGGGTCTCAGTAAGTCACTTAATTGCGCAGGCTGCCCTTGAACGTGCAAGCCTCCTGCCTCAGCTTATAGAGTGCTGGGGTTTCAAGCGTGCACCACCATGCCTGGCATAGAACTATTTTTAAATCATGATATAAAGCAAGATGAAATATGCAAGTTGACAGTGAGAGTGTCCAGGACTTGGTTTCTCTTTCCTGATAAAGGGAAGATAGGCCAGTGAGTTGGATTCATCTGGTAAGCCACAGGCAGTTTGTAGCCATGTAGTTTCTTAGAGAAGAAATGAGCTTATTATTATGTAATTTTGGACCTAGATTACTAAGTGTTCCTATGTATGTCTTATTCAGACTTCCAGGTTTCTCAAAGAAGGATCTGCCCTAGCCTTTTCTCTAGTCTATTAATGTTTATGTGCCCACTATATATCCACATGGGTGCTGTTCCTGAGCTCGCTGACTGACAGGAATATGTGCCCCATTCCTCATGATCGGGTTTCTTTTTGTTCATTTGTGGTACTAGGGATTGAACCCAAGGCCCTTGAATTACATGGTGCTCTGACATGGCACTTGATTGAATGAGACAGGGTCTCACTGTATTTTAGGCAGGTCCAGAACTCTCAGTAATCCTCCTGCCTCTGTTCTGAATGCTGGGGTTACAGGTGTGCACCACCACACCCAACCTGTGTGTACCATTACACCCAACTTGTAGTACTTCTTACATTTTATTTTGAGACACTCTTGCTGAATTCCCCTGACTGAACTTGAATTTGAAATTTCAAATTCATTTTTTGAGTTACTGGAATTAAAGGTGTACACTGGCTGCAGCGAATTGTGTTTTCTTTCTTTTTTTTTTCGGTACCAGGGATTGAACTCATGATCTTGCGCTTCTCAGGCAGGTCCTCACACCTCTGAGCTAAATGCCCGGCCCTGCTAAATTGTGTTTTCTTTTTCGTTTTCTTCGTTTTTATCGGTACCAGGGATCGAACTCACGACTGCCTGCTTGCAAGGCAGGCGCTTATGCTGCTGAGCTAAATCCCCAGCCCCCATAAATTGTGTTTTCTTAAAGAATTTTCTTTTTCTTTCTTTTTTTGGTACAGAGGATTGAATTTACAACTTCATGCTTGCCAGACAGGTACTAGCACCACTGAACTAAATCCTGGCCCAAGAATTTTGTTACATAAATGTACAGAGTACAAAAGGTTCACTGGTGTTTTTTTCATATTAAACCTTATAACTAATCTTTTTAATTTTCTTTTTTTCTTTTTTGTGTGTATATATTGGGATGAGGAGATACTGGGTATGAACCCAGGGTCCTTGAACTGAGCTACATCCCCAACCTTTTATTTTGAGACAAGATCTTAAGTTACCGTGTCATCCAGGCTGGGCTCAAACTTAGTCTTTCTGCTTCAGCCTTCTGGAATGCTAACATTACAGGCATGTACCACCACTCCTAAATGTTTCTTAGAACTTTTTAAAAATTCATTACTTAGGTCAACAATGCTTAAGGAACTGGATATGGTGGCAAATAGCTGTAAAGTCAGCCCTCAGGAGGCTGAGGCAGGCAGATTGCTGGCAGTTCAAGACCAGCCTAAACTATATACTACATTTTTAAAAAAACATAGCAAGACTAAGTTTTTTAAAAAAAAAAAATTCATGGAAAAAATTTCATTAGTTCTGTATCTTTGGATTTAGATAATGAAGATTCAAAGGAACCCTCAGAAAAAAGTTCTCACTGTACAGATGGATTTTCCAGACTTGGGAACAGGAAAAGAACTGCAGTCACTACTCCAAGTAAGACACGGACACACACAGGAGGCAGTTGGCCCACTTTGGACTAGTGGAGTCTGCGAAAGGTAGAGGGTAAAAGCTCAGATGCTGGAACCAAGGCTGACCTTCCCTAGCTCTTGGTTTCTAGCTTTGAGGTCTTTAGTGACTTATTCTCAATGGAGCAAGCTCCTCAGTGTAAAATAAAAGTGACTGTACTACCTGATTCATCAGACAGGTAAACTTGAGATTGTCGTCGGTTACCTACCACGGCATGTACCATAACGTGTACCACAGCATGTGCCATTGCATGTACCAGGCTGTCAGTAAAAACCCGTGGAGCACTGATGCAGTACCCACCAGGTGCTAAGTTTCTAGTGGATCTAATGGACTCCATTTTTAGACATGTAAATCTCCTCCAGCTTGTACTGGTGGAACAATGCATGGCACATTCAATGGTAACTAAGTATTATATATTTTTAGTTGTTAGAATACTTAGCATGCGGGGACTACAGCTCAGTGGCACAGCTCTTGCCTGGCAAGCCCAAGATTGTGAGTTCAATTCTCAGTCCAAAAAAAGGAGAATACTTATCATATTAGAAATGTTTATATACATAATTCAAATAGCACAGAATAGTGATCAGCAAACTCTGCCCACCCACCTTGGTTAGTTTTCTCTCTCTTGCACTAAGAATGCTTTTCTCACTTTTAAAGCATTCTTTTGCTTTATGTAGCCACAAAGCCTCCAAGCCCATGAACAGAAAGTCCGTTATCCCTTACCATACAGCTTTCTAAGCATTATAAAGTACCAAATTTGAGGGACTGGTGGTTATATCTTAGTCACAGAAATATGTGCTTAGCATATAGGAGGCCCTGCCTTTAATCCCTAGTGCCACCCTCCATCAAATTCGTGATGATTAAATGAAACCCATTTAACTAACTCCTCAGTAGGACAAGACAGTCTAATATTCTTCTTTACACTAAGCCAAGCTGACAGGGAAATGGGCAATGGGGAATCAGTGAATGTTTAGTGGTCTATAAGATGAATATCCTTTGCTGAGAGTATTTTAAAAACTGCATGCTTTGAAATTAAAATTTAGGGTGGGGCGTGGGGGCATATACTATAATCCCTGTACTTGAGAGGCTGATGCAGGAGGATCTTTGTGAGTTCGAGACCAGCCTAGGTTAAGAAGTGAGCTAAAGACTAGTCTCTCCTTAGCCTCAAAAGACAAAAAAAAAATAATAATAGTAATTAAAGTTTTAGGAAATAGGTATTAAAGTTGAATGTTGCATGGCATGATAGTACATGCCTGTAATCCCAGCACTCAGGAGGCTGAGGCAGGAGGATTGCTGGGAATTTGAGGCCACCCTGAGCTACATAATGAGTTTAAGGTGAGCTTGAACTATGTAGTATGACTTTGTCTCCAAAAATAAAAAATAAAGAATGTTAGGAATGTAAAAAAAAAAAAAGATTTTTAACAGAAAAAAACAAGAAATGGACTAAATGGATTGTCATAATTTTCATATTTTGGGGAAATATTCTAGACTTTAAAAAGCTCCATGAGGCTCATTTTAAGGAAATGGAGTCCATTGATGAATATATTAAGAGACGAAAGAAATACCACTCATCTCATGAAATGAAGGTATGTAGATAAAATTCATATTCTTATTGGTACTAAACTGTTTGGTTTTAATTTTGAAGCCATGTTAATACAGCCAGTTCTGTACAGCTACCCGAGGGATCATTTTGCTTGTGTTTAACGTATCTTTATCTTGAAATTGCTTCCCTCACCTGGAAGATTTTCAAGTCTCCAGATGAAATAAGATGCCCTCACTGTGAGAATGCAGTTCCAGAGTGACAACAGGTTCTTTTTTCCCTGACATTTTGCCCTCCATTCATCAAGAATGGACTGAGTATGGCTGAAGTCATCGTCACCAAGGAGACAGTGGGGCACAGTGGCTCCCTAAGGGCACCTGTGGTAACAGCTCCCTAGGGTCTGCAGGCCAGGCCTTGCTGGACTCGGTGCCCTTTCCAGGAAGAAGAGGTGATGCAGGCAGCCTGGAGTTTGACTTGGGGTAATGAGCTGATAGCATCCTAGGAAATTGATGTAATTGGTATCTGGGGTTAAGAGGGCTGAGAAACATTTAGTTTGGAATTTAATGATATATGAAAACCTATTTGTCAGAAAGCATTTAAGGCAGTTTATGGTATTAAATATAACAGGAGACACTGTGAAGTCCATTTAAAAGTGGCACAGAAGCTGGATGTGGGGGGACATACCTGTGGTGGGAAATCTAAGGCAGGAAGGTCTTGCCATTTTGAGGCCAGCTGGACTATATAGTGATAGTGAATTCAAGGCCAACCTGAGAGACATGATGAGACCTGTCGTCCCCCCACTTCCCCAAAAAAGCCAGAGCAGAGGATGGGACCTGGGGATATAAATCAGTGATACAGCGGTGCTTTTAAAGTACAGTATATAAGCTTTCTGATAAGAAGCCTAATTAAAAGAACAAATGTTCATTTCAATTCAACTGTATTTATAAATCACTATTACTTAAAGACACCATCAACTTGAAAATAGCAACAAAACCGAGCCATGCTATTAAACATCTCCATGCCTTCGTCACTAACCTACAACACGGATGGAGCAGCCACAGGTATCCAGCGTGTCCGTGGTCAGGCTGCCTGACATATTAAGAAGTGGCACAAGAGGTTCGGAGGCCAGCGCAGGAGAACAGCACTGCTTTCCTACACAGGTGTGAGCCAGCTGGAAAGGTGCTTGCAAGCACCGCCCGTCCCTTTCCAGGCAGCTGGACCTATTAAGTCTTTGGTGGATCCTCAAGTGTTCCTTATTATGTAATAGGGAGAAGTTAAATTTCCAGGTAAAGACCAGAAAAACTGCTTAACTCACAAAATTTTTTTATTAGTATGTGTTTGCTATACATAACTGTCGTGACTACTTTCAATGTGGCACAGTGGACATGACGCATCTTAACTCTTTATGTCCCTTCCTCCCTCCCTTCCCCTCTCCCATTTCTTTTTTTTTTTTTTTTCTTCCCTTTCCCATTTCTTGATTGCCTTCCCATTTGCAATGGATCTATCTCCCTATTTCTTTTTATTATATATTTTGCATTTTGCTCTTAATTTTACTTTGGATTTCTCAGATGAGAGAAACCATTTGGTATTTAAACTTGTGTGTCTAATTTCACTTAACATTGTTTTCAAGTGCATCCATTTTCCTACAAATGAGTCAAATGTATCCTTTAGAGCAGAGTAGTATTCTACTGTGTACAAATACCATATTTTCTTTATCTGTTTTACCATAGGTACACAGAAAGGTTGCTTCTAAGGGTAGCTATTATGAATTGTGTGGCTATAAACACGATAGGCATATATCACTGTAATGCAATGTTTTTAACTCTTTCAGGAAGATACCTAGTGGGGGAATAGCTCTGTTAAATGTAATTTCTAATTTTAGGCTTTTGAGGAATTGCCATACTGATTTCTGTAGTGGTTGCACTTGTTTACATTCCCACCAATACTGTAGAAGGTTTCTTTTTTACTCCAAAGCCTTGCCAGCATTTGATACTACTGGATATTTTGTTGATGGCCATTCTTCCTGGGGTAAGGTGGAATCTTTTTTTTTTTTTTTTTTTTTTTTGGTCTTTTTCCTTTTTATCGGTACCGGGGATCGAACTCACGACTGCCTGCTTGCAAGGCAGGCGCTTATGCCGCTGAGCTAAATCCCCAGGCCCTGTAAGGTGGAATCTTAGTGTTATTTTAATTTGTACTTCTATAATGGCCAGTGGTGTTAAACAGTTTTTCGTGTACTTGTGTGACATTTGTATTTCTTCTTCTGAGAAATATCTATTCATTTCAGTTATATATTTTTTGATTGGGTCTTTCACTGAAAGATCTAAATGTTTTTTGAGTTCTTATATATTCTAGATGTTATTCCTCTAAGGTATAGCCAGTAAGAATTTTTTCCCATTCTGTAGGTTGTCTCTTCACTCTGTTGGTTGTTTTCCTTTACTGTACAGCAGTTCATTTGTTTTTGTCTTTTTGAGACAGGGTCTCACTATGTAGTTCAGAATGGCCTTGAGCTCAATTAGTAGCCCAGGCTGGTCTGGAACTTGTAATGATCCTCTTGCCTCAGCTTTCCAAGTGCTGGGATTATAGGCATGTGCCACCATGCCCAGCTTGTGCAGAAGCTTTTTAATTGACACGATCCCACTTGATTCTTGATTTTATTTCTGTGCAACTGGATTTCTGTTTAGAAATTCCTTGCGTATGCCTATGACTTCCAAATGTTTTACCTTTCAGTAGGTTGTTTCTGTGTTAATATTTAGGACTTTATATTTTAGTTCAGTACACAGTGAGAGACATATGCCTGGCTCCAATCTTCTGCATGTGGATAACCAATTTTCCCAGCAGCATTTGCTAAAGAGGGCATCTTTCTTCTAGCATGTTTTCAGTCTGTCAAAGATCATGTTGTTAAGGAAGATTTTTTGTTTTATTTTAGCTAAAATATTTTCTTTTCTGAGTTTTCTAGCATGCTTAGAAAGGTCTGGCCTGGGGCTGGGGATTTAGCTCAGCGGCATAAGCGCCTGCCTTGCAAGCAGGCAGTCGTGAGTTCGATCCCCGGTACCGATAAAAAAAAAAAAAAAAAAAAAAAAAAAAGGTCTGGCCTTTGCTCCTGTATTTATTTCTACTGCTTTTATTACTTCCTTCCTGTGTTTTATTCCTTCAGCCATGTTTTTATTCTTATGTAAGTCAATTATTTGTCCTATCTCCATTGTCTGGCAATGAAGTTACTTTTCTTCTTGCAACACATAATAGCTAATGATGACAATATTTTATTTATTTTGGGGTTTTTTGAGACAGGGTGTCATTATGTAGTCCAGGCTGGCCTCAGAATTGTGGCAGTTCTCCTGACTTTGCTTCCCACGTGCTGGGATTACAGCTGTGCACCACCATGCCTGGCCCTCATTTATTCTTTTGCCTGCACAGTATCTAAAAACTATAACCTAGGTGGAGCCCTTCACAGCTGTGTCAGAGTGAGCATTTCTTCCCTTTTATTTTTTTTGTGGGGCAGTGCTATTTAAGAACTTTAAAATACTGTTGCAAGGGAGTGGGTAGGGCTAGGGAGAAGGCAAGAATCATTTGTAGATTCTATGTGCTAAATCTAGAGTAGGTTCTCCTTTAAGCTTATATTTAATAAACTATGTATCACACTCTCAGCATTCCCTAGAGCTACTTGGAACTATCTGGCCTCATTTTTCCTAGTTAGAAAATACCTAGGTATGTGGCAGCCTGGAAAGGCTCTGTGGTCACAGTACATGTGGCACACGGGGATGGGTAACTGCGCGGTGGCCAGACAGCACAGGATGAAAGAGTAGGGAGAAGGGATGTGGTTCCAGTTCCAAGGGAACAGGAAACTGTGAATGCGAGCTTCTGAACTTTTCAGAGGACAGGGTACCCTGTAAGAGGCCATGCTCTTTTCTTTCCTTCAGAAGCAGCCCAGCAATGATCAGGGGGTAATGACACCTGTTCCTCCAAGAAGACTCTCTCGTGCTTGCACACCTGCCAGCCAGCAGCACTCACAAGGCCAAGACCCTGCCAGGCGGAGCGCTATGAGCGCTATGAAAGGGTTGGCCAAGCAGTCTGCTCTCTCAGCAACGAAAGTGAACGTCAGGTAAGGCGATCACTTCTAAAGTGCAGCTGGCTACCAAAAAAAGGTAATAAAATGTAGCCAAGGACACGAGTTCAGGTAGATTTGACGTTAATAAAAAGCAGAAAATAAAAGGATCAGCAATAGAAAGATTGGCAAACAGTTTTAAGTTCTCATCTTTATTTGGGTTCAGTTTTCTTGTTTGAGCCAACTGCCCTCAGCATACATTTGATAAGGATACAAGATAAGATATATTTGGTTAATCTTCATTTCATGTACTGATTTTTTTCTTTGACGTTTAGAATTCTATTTATTGAGTTAGCATGGAATATGAGGTACCTATAATTCATGGTTCTAATTGTATTTAATGCTACTTAATACCACAGTCAAAGAGCGAGCTAAGCTTCACTTCACAGTCATGTACCCAGCATCCTGCACCTCACAGCATCTGTCCTAGCACACATGACTGCCCAGTGCTGCAACAGAGCTTGAGGAATGGTCTAGGGACATGACTAGGGATCACCATGAACACTTGTAAGTCCAAAAGTTCCACTCTGTTGGCCCCACAAACAATAAACGTATTCCTATATACTTACCTATGTCATTACTGGATTTTATTAAATCTATCCATTGATTGAAGGCTCACTGTTATTTTGTTAACCATGAAGACAAAAGTTGGTTTCCAGTGACTGCTGACAGACGTGTTATCCATGGTAAAATGCTTCTTAATTTCAGAGATGTTAAAATGTAGAAAACAACCTGCATCAGAGAATCACTGAAATACATTCATGGCGATTTGCCATGAAGACAGACTAGGCTAATTTATAGACCGCTCAAAGGAGTGACATCACGGTATTCTAGGAAGATGTGATCATCACTCTCTTGGCCCTCGGACCTCGAATCACAGTGTGTGTGTGTTAAGAGGCGCCTTCTTGGATTAGCTCCTGAATTGTAACTCCAAGCCTATAGCTGTATCCTCACACTGCCTCACAGGTCAGTGGCCAAGTGGAAATACCAAAGATTCTAAATGTGTATTTTACAAGTATTGAAAAATGAAAGTTGACACATGATTTGTTTTGGCATCGGCCTCTCAAAAACATGTTTCCTGCCTGGAGATGCTCAAGTGGTGTCATTTGTAAACCTCACATAAGAACTTGTATCTTGCACTCCACAATCCTGTTTAGGTTTTCAGCTGCTACTAAAGATAATGAGCATAAGCATTCACTGACCAAGACTCCAGCCAGAAAGTCTCCACATGTGACCACATCTGGGAACATGTTAAAAGGCCAAGCTGTGTTAAGGACACCCACATTAAAGACCACCAAGAGGAATTCTGCTGCTGCTGGTAAAAAGCTTCATCTTTAAGCCATGTAACTTCCTGAAAGTATCTTTCCCTAAAGCTTCTCTGTATCTATAAAGTCAAAAGTAGTTGGGCATGATGCCTGTAATCCCAACACTCATGCGGCAGAGGCAGGAGGATTGCTGTGAGTTCAAAGCTAGCTTTGGCTACAAAGTAAGTTCAAGGCCAGCTTGAACTGCTTAGTGAAACCTGTCTCAAAAAGACCAAAAAAAAAAAAAAAAAAAAGCAAAAATGTTATAGCCAGGGGTGGTGGTGTATGCTTGTACACCTGGTATGCTACTTGGAGAGCCTGAGAAGGAGGATTGCAAGTTTGAAGCCAGTCTGTACCAATAAAAGTAAAATATTAAACAAAAAAAATTTTTTTTAAATTTAAAGGTCTAGAAATATGGTTCAGTGAAAAGTCTCTGAAATTAATCCCCAGTAACATTTTAAAAATCTTAGGGGCAGGGGCTGGGGATTTAGCTCAGCGGCATAAGCGCCTGCCTTGAAAGCAGCCAGTCGTGAGTTCGATCCCTGGTACTGATAAAAAAAAAACTTGGGGGCCGGGGATTTAGCTCAGGGTTACATAACCACCTGCCTTGCAAGTGCGCTATTGCAAGTTTGATCCCCGTATCCGCTCCCCCCTCCCCCCGCAAAAAAAAAAAACCAACAGCAAAAAAATCTTAACTTCCACCATTCTGATGTATGTTTCACTGTTTTTTTTTTTTTTACTGGTAACTGAATCCAGGACCTTTCCTTTTTTTTGGTCTTTTTCCTTTTTATCGGTACCAGGGATCGAACTCATGACTGCCTGCTTGCAAGGCAGGCGCTTATGCCGCTGAGCTAAATCCCCAGCCCATTATTGGTACAATTTAGATATACACAATGATCGTATTCATGAGGCCCTTTTCACTGAGCCACATTCCCAACTTTTTTTTTTAAACTTGTGATCCTCTTGATTCGATTCCCAATTGCTAGGATTACTGGTGTGTGCCACAGTACCCTGTAGACACTTTACATCCTTAAATGAGAATAGCCTTTTTAGGACTCTTCATCCATATGCATTAAGTGTCTTTATATCTGTTTAAGTTAATAACAATAGGTTGATTTTTTTTTTTTTTTTTTTTTGGTCTTTTTCCTTTTTATCGGTACCAGGGATTGAACTCACGACTGCCTGCTTGCAAGGCAGGCGCTTATGCCGCTGAGCTAAATCCCCAACCCCATCCCAGCTGTCTCTTCAAACAGGGTTTTAGATGCCCTAAGAAATGTCATGGCATTCAGATGATTTGAGAGCTTCCAGGGAAGAATAGCTACTGATTAGCTTTCCAAGTTCTTTTCTCCCCCTCTTTAATCCTACATCTGCTTTAGACTATTCATATAGATGGTCGTAGCCTGCTTAGTCTGCTGAAACACTACCAGAAACTGTGGCTCCTAAACAGCAGACTCTAAGATCCAGAGTCTAGATCAGGGTGCTAGCCTGGTCTGGTCTTGTGGACTCCTGACTTGTATCTCCAGGTGGCAGAAAGCTCTAGGGAGCACTATGAGAGCCCTTAGAAAATACTAATGTTGTTCATGACCCACTTACCTCCCCAAGGGCCTGCCCCTAATACCGGTCACACTGTGGGGGGACTAGAGTAGTTTGACTGAGAAATGATACTTTGATTAAAACCATTAAGGCAGGTCCTTTTCCCTAGTTAAGGCCTTTGGTGTTTTGAGGATTTCTGTTTGTTTTTAGGTATCACCCCATTCAATCTGACAGCCAAGGGAATGCAGACTCCTGTCTCCAGTAAGAAACCAGTATTTGATCTCAAAGCAAGTTTGTCTCGTCCCCTCAACTATGAGCCACACAAAGGTATGGCGGGGATTCTCCAGATATGGGGCCTATAAGAGATTTCAGATTCAGTGTCTCTGAAGATGTAACCAAGTTCAGTGACTCAAATCCACACCTGCAGAGCTGTGTCCTCTGCCCCTACTTCCACATGGAGCTAAAGTTCTAAATAGTGTCCTGTGAACAAAGACTAAATAACGGATTTATGTAAGCTTTTATTAACTGAACGTTTAATTTCTTTTTTTTTTGTCTTTTTCCTTTTTATCGGAACCAGGGATCGAACTCACGACTGCCTGCTTGCAAGGCAGGCGCTTATGCCGCTGAGCTAAATCTCCAGCCCCGAAAGTTTAATTTCTAAAGAATGTTACTACAGGGGGCTGGGATTTAGCTCAATGGCATAAGCTCCTGCCTGGCAAGCATAAGGTCATGAGTTCGATCCCCAGTATCAATAAATAAATGAATGAATGAATAAATGTTACTACAACAAAAGTAATAAAATTTTAGCCCGTATCATTAAGTTAGCTTCTTAAGGTCTCACCCTGCAGCTCATGTGAATAATGGGACTACGAGAACATACCTGTTTGAGTCTGTGCATTTTTGTTTTCTTCATCTCACATTTATTTGTAATGAGTACATTTAGGAATTTTCTAGTGTGTAGCACAGTAAGTCGTCACATTATACAAGAGACCTCTTTAACACAACCCTCCTGACACGCTGGAACCTGCGTCCGTCCTTTCACTAGCACCTCATCAGCCCTCCTGACTCTCTCCTGACCCTGGAAACCACTGTTCCTTTCCACCTCTTAGTTCAACCACTTTTGAGAGAATGTACAGTATTTGTCTTTTTATGAATGGCTATTTTCATTAGCATGATGTTCTCTGAGATCATCCACGGTGTTGAAATTCAGGCTAAAAAGTATTTCACTGTATATATGTGCCACATTTTCTTGTCTATCCATTCATCCGACAGGATAACTTCACAACTTATTAGTATTGTAAACAATGCTGTATGGAGGGAGTATTGGCAAATGCCCAGAAATGAGAATTGCTACCTATGTTCCCAGTTCTAATTCCAACAAAATCTATCCCAAATATAAACAGGTAACAATAATCACAAACTACATTGCCAAGATGCTACTTTAAAACATAATACTTACACAATCAGGGGATAAAGTAGTTGGGTGTAGGCTTCTTTCAGTGTACTGGGCAACTGGATTTCATTTTGAAGTTTTTAAAATATATTTTGGGCCAGAGATTTAGTTCAGGGGCATCAGCACCTGCCTGGCAAGTGCAAGGTGCTGAGTTCAATCCCTAGTACCAATAAATAAATAAAATGAAATAAAAAAATAAAATTTTAGTTTAGGGCTGGGGATATATAGCTCAGTGATAGAATGGTTGCCTAGCATGTGCATAGTTCCCAGAGTGAGAATGAGTGAGACTCTGCAGACTGAGTCAGTCCCCAGAACAAAAAAAAAAAAAAAAAAAAAAAAAAAGCCAGGCATGGTGACGCATACCTGTGATCCCAGCATGTAGGAGGCTGAGGCAAGAGGCTTGCCACAAATTCAGAGTCAGCCTGAGCTGTATCATGAGACCCTGTCTCCAAACACAATAGGGGAAAAAAAACTTTTTCTTTCTGTGGTGAAGAATTTAGAAATGACACTTTCTTTTTTTTTTTTTTTGTTTCCTTTTATCGGTACCAGGGATCGAACTCATGACTGCCTGCTTGCCGCTGAGCTAAATCCCCAGCCCCTTTTTTGTCTTTTTTGAGACGGGATCTCCCTATGCAGTTCAGGCTGGCCTTGAGCTCACTTTGTAGCCTAGGCTGGTCTCAAACTCACAGTGATCCTCCCATCTCAGCCTCCCGAGTGCTGGGATTACAGGCGTGAACCACCATGTCTGGAAGAAATGACACTTTCTTATTTTGAGAAGAAAAATCTGGTTTCCATCTGTGGAATGCAGTAAGAATGAATCTACTTTTTCAGACCCCCAAAACTCGGACTCCAGAGGCAGTAAAAGTGAGGCTCTAATCCTTTCCCTTGCCAGTGTGGTGCCTGTACACACAGGCACACCACAGCTGAGAAGTTATGTGGTTTTATTCCTAACTCGCAGGAATCTCTCCCCCAACCTCCCGTGGTCTGGGATCTGGGGTTCATTCTTTATCCCAAACAATCTATCCTAGCCTGTATCTGATACTCCCCTTTTTGTACCTTGCCCCCATTCCTTTTTGTAGCTATTTATGACCTTTTGGCTTCTTAAGAATAGAACCTGTAATTCAGAAAAACTTGTTTGCTTAGTACCTTATCTCTCTTGTGAGTCATTTTATAGCCTGTGTGTCTGTCTATATCTGACCCAGCTAATTCTGTGAATAGGGACCTTTTGAGTGGTTAATGAAATATGGCCCAATTAAAACTATTTTTGTCTCTTACAATGTGGAATTAAAATAGTAACGAATTACACTGGCAGATATAGGAATCAAGTAGCTACCGAAGAACATTACAAATTCAGAACTATAACTAAAAGAATATTAAAACTGTCTTTGTCTTAACTTAGGAAAGCTGAAACCCTGGGGGCAATCTAAAGAAAATAATTCTCTGAATGAACATGTGAGCAGAGTGAGTTACCATAAGAAAACTTACAAGCAACCTCCTCTCCATACCAGGTAAGGACATATTTATTGTTATTTTTCTGTTTTAAAAAGCAATATACAGAATCACTGCTGAAGGACAGAATCTCAGGTCAGAAGTGGAATGTCTAGCCAGGCAGATAGCAGCCTGGAGGTGGACACTAGTCCCTCCGGGTAAGCTGCATGACCTAATGACCTTCTTAAAAGATTTTCTCACTTCTTATTGCCACTGCTTGAGGACCAACTGTCCATGTGGATCTTAAGCGGGCAAAACTCATGTTCAATAGCAACATGGAGTCCCTTATAGAGCTTTGTACACCTACACAGCCCAGGTAACTCTAAGTCAGGGGGTCTGAGCAGAGGCCCAGTATCTCTGAGGCACCACAGGTGACTGGGATGAGGTAGATTCAAGAGTGCTGGTCTTGCATGTGACTGTCCCTCCAGATACCAGTTTCCTACCCAAGCACCTTAACACTTAAGTAGACGTCTCCTGGCCTACAGTTAGCCTTCTTCCAGGTCTTTACCAATGATGTTTGTCTTTAAGATAGGTAACGTGGTCTTGGCCTTTTTCTCTTTGTGTAATCCGCTCCAGAAAATAAAAGTGACGTAAATGTGGTCATAGTTCTAGCACTTCCCCAGACTGTGTGATTGTGAGCTTGACCTGACACTTAGACATTTCTCATTTAAAATACATTTGTAGAGCACAGGATTTTAATTCTGTCACCAAGGTGCCTTCTAATTCTAGTCTCATGGATGATTTCTGAATGCAGAGCTTAGATCAGTGAGCTACAGCAGATGCCAGAACCTGCAGGTAGAGCACAGTGGCCACAGGGGTTTGTTCTGCACAAGCGTCCAGATGCTGTCTACATGTAGACAGCAGTCCAGCAGTCGCTACTCACAGTGTCTATCATGGATGGAGGTTCGCTCCAACTAACTATGGCCTGTCCTCCTCAGGGAAGAGCAACGAAAGAAACACGAGCAAGAACGAAAGGAGAAGAAAGCCAAGGTTCTGGAAGCTCGAAGGGGCCTCACTGTGGTTAAAGATAGATGATTTTTAATTCCTGTAAATACTACTTCATTCACTTTCCCTCTATATATATTTCTACACTGTCCTTGTTTTCCTACCAGTAACTTTTGTTCATTATATATGTAGCCTGTCAGTTCACATGCCACAGCTCTGAAAGGCATAAACATCTTAACGTTCATAAATTCTTTGGAATGGCTTTAAGCCTTTGTACAGCTCATCCTAAGATTCATAACCTGTAATGTCAACATATTTCTGCTTGCTGGTGCTAATGTTAACAGGTTGGCAGTACTCTTCCATCCAAGAGCATTTACCCAAGGGCACTGCACTGTACTACAAGCTTCAAAAGAATCTGCACAATGAAAAGTGAATGGGGAAAGCTGCGGTAAGACAGTCACCCCTTCATCCTCTACAGAAGCTACTAATCTTACCAAGCTGGCCCTATGGTTTAGTGATAGCATCAGTATTTTGCCTGTGTGAAAAATATTTTGTTTAGCATACTAGCACCTTTGTATACCTTTATATAATTGCCATTTGTTAGTTGCTATATTCTTAAAAATAAAACTCCACAACTGATTCTAGTCTTGCTTATTTAAAAGAAAAAGCTACATAGCTCCATCAAAATTGGAGAGATGGGATGTAGCTCAGTAGCAGAGTGACTGCCTAGCTTGATCCAGTCCCCAATAACACACACACGCAGATTACTGCTTTCAAGATCTGTTTTTGTTGTTTGAGACAGTCTTGCTATGTAGCTGAGGCTGGCCTAGAACTCAAAGTGATTCTCTTGCCTCAGCCTCCGGTGAGTGCTGGGATTACAGGCATGCACTACCATGCCTGGCTTTAAAGACTGCTCTGCCTTGTCGTATCTTACTAATTTTATGGAAAAGACTAGAGTTGTATAACCTAATATCCTTGTTCTTTGCACTACCTTTGTGGAGTTTTGTGTCTTGCTCAAACTTTTCATAAATGACATTCTTTTCTCATAGATTGAGTGAATGTAACAATCACCTTATGATTACATTTGGACGACACCTAAGACCAACAAGGCCTTAAATGTATACACCCTTCACACACCCTCCTTTCCTACTTCCACCCCAAGAACAAAATGTCCCTATTCTTCCTTTGTATTTCCACGGTGCCTCTCAGGTTTTGGTTTTTATCTTTTTATTTTTTGAGGCAGGGTCTTACGATGCAGTTCAGACTATGTAGCCCAGGTCTCCTGCCTCAGTCTCCGAAGTTTTGAGATTACAAATAAGTTTTCACCATGTCCACTTTGGCTTTATTACATTCAGATTTGCATATATTTTCAGAACGTGGCACATGCCTGGTTACTTGAAAAAAAACTCAGATTTTCCTACCAAGGCACAAAGATCAATCAAGAGATCCTGGAAGCTGGGTGTAGTGCTGCATACTGGGAGGCTGAGGCAGGAAGATAACAAGTTTGGGCCCAGCCTGAGCAAAAAATAACCCATAACAGGTTGGGGATACAGCTCAGCAACACAAGCACCTGCCTGCTAAGCCCAAGGTTGTGTTCAATCCCTGGTACCAAACATAAATAAATAAATAAATAAATAAATAAATAAATAAATATCGGGTTCATGCTTTTTTTTTTGGTTCATGCATTTTTGGAGGACAGGCTCTCCACTGAATATTCCATTTCTCAGTAACTTCCACATCATCCCTATCAATAAGGAAATAGAAGAAACCTAAAAGGAAAAAATGGTAGAAAGGCAGCAGCAGCCCTCTGAGACTTCCTTTGAATCTGCCTTCTCATGTACGAAATCCTTGTGGTGGGAACCATTCTGACAAAAACATGGTAACATGTTATATCAGTGCTTGCAACTTAAGAGACAGCGTCTGGTTTCACAATATACCCCTGATCTGGTCTCTTACTGACAGCAGTTCGTCTTAGCCTTTAATCACTTTTCTTGTTGCTAAGACAAAATACCCACTACTCAAAGTTCGAAGCGGAAAGGTTTATTTGGCTCACAGTTCACAGAGGTTTTGCTCCATGGTCAGCTGGCACCAAGGCAGGGTGGCATGGCAGAGGGGCACCGAGGAGGAACAACCATCCATCACAGAGTAGGACATGCAGAAGGCAGCAAGCAATGGCAGCAACCTATTGCTTTTTTGGTGTTTGGGGGTTTTTTTTTGGGTACCAGAAATCAAACTCTTTTTTTTTTTTTTTTTTGTCTTTTTCTTTTTTTTTTTATTGGTACCAGGGATCGAACTCACAACTGCCTGCTTACAAGAAAGGCGCTTATGCTGCAGAGCTAAATCCCCAGCCCCCAGAAATCAAAATCTTGCCAAGCAGATACTGCGCCACTGAGCTGTATCCCTGGCCCTACGGCTTATTTTTGTCTTTCCAGGCTGTCTGCCCTTGGGTGGCACTACCCACATGTAGGGAGGGCCTTCTACACCCAGAACTATGCCAAACCAATCAGTGGACTAATACCACATGCCTTTAATCCTACTATCACATGCCCTAGATCCAAAAATCCTCACCTCTGACTGCATGAGACTTTGGGGTAACCTCTAGACGTGAACTATAACATCCTATTTTATGGAATACATACCAGCAATTTATTTGCCATTAGGTTTTGGTTTTTAGTCTTCTTTTGTTTTTTTTTTTTTTTTTAGTCTTTTTGAAATAGTCTCACTATGTAGTTCAGGCTGGCCTTGAACTCATTTTGTAGCCCAGGCTGGCTCTGAGTTCACATGATCCTCCTGCCTCAGTTTCAGAAGCATTGGGATTACAGTCGTGTATCTTCATATCTGGTGCCGTTAGTTTTTTTCTTTTTGGGGGACGCTGGCTGCATCCCAGCCCACAAAACAAAACACTTACTTTTTTGTCTGCATCACTGTGGCTGCTACTATCATCATTAGTCTAACAACACAAAACTGGCATATCCTCTTCCTCATTTAAAAAGTCTTGGGTTAAGCACTGGAGAATTTTCATACGGAAATTCTTCTGTGTGGGCTGGGTCATTAAACACACCAATAAAATCTATTTCCAGGAAGAATGGACCATCTACTTTATCAGCCAGGGTGAATCCTATAGTAGAGATCTAAATTGAAACAAAGAAGTTGATTAAAATCTTAACAAGGATGTACTGCTGTCCCTGAGTCTTTACACCATGAGCTTCGGCAAGGACACAGTAGTTCTCCTGTGCTGGAGCAAATTAGAGACTGCTGTTCTTCCCCTCATTAGGTGAGCTCCTTCAGAGTAGGAAGGACAACAGAAATGTCTAATGGAGATGCCTTAAGATCTGTTCTTTTTTGCTTGCTTGTTTGAAACGGTCTCACTATGTACTTCTGGTTGACCTTGAGTATTCCCGGCTGGCCTTGAATTTGAGGTGATCCTCCTGCCTCAGCCTCCTGAGTGCTGCGATTACAGATGTGTACTACCACACCCAGCACTGGAGTTCTTCTAAACTCATTTGAGAGCAAAAATAAATTGCAGGCACCATGAAAAGATGACACAGTCATGTCCTACCAGGATGGGGTTAACTCACAGGATGGGCCTGACTTTGGGCAATAGAGAAGGCCCTGCAGAGGAATTTCATCTTTCATTGCCAGCTTCTCAAGATGATCTGAGCTTGTCCTCATGGGAGTTATTTCACTACATTATCATCCTGGCTGAAAAGTACAGGAACTAGCTTACCTTGTCAAGCAGAAGCTTGTACTGGGCATCCCGGATTCTTCCTTTATTTGAGAAGAAAAATTTGGAAAAGGGAATCTGAAAGAAAATATTTTATAGCTGAAAAATAAGCAATTGAGGCATCTATATGAAATTACAATGATGAAAACAGTTTAAATATTATTACGTTATTTAAAATAACAAAAAATATGAGAAGTTGTTTGGATCAAACATACAAGGGCATAAACTCAGGGCCTTAAGCATGCATGGCAGTGACACAGCCCAAAGACAGACATTTGTAAAACCAGCTGGGCATGGCAGTGCACACCAGTAATGCCAGCACATGAGAGGCTGGGGCAGCAATTGCAAATTCATGATCAAACTGGACTATATTGCCAAGACTTTGTCTCAAAAAGGGGGAAAAAAATGAAAAAAAAATCTGGGTGTAGTGATACATACCTGTAATCACTGGGGAGGCTAATCTAAATTGAGAATAGAGAGGACTAGAAGTTTGAAGACAGCCAAATAAATAAATACTGGGCATGTAGTACAATGCTCCCCAGTTCAGTACTTAATAGTGCAAAAGCAAAATAAACAAAAACCAAAAACCTAGAAAACACAATGAAAAATTTTGTAAGCCAGCAGTCCCAAAGGAAAAGTGATAGAGTAAAATCATAGCTGACCGCAAAGACAGAAAATAAATTAGGAAAGAAAAAGTATTTGTAACATGGACAAAAGAGTAGAATTCTTTTTTTTTTAAGAGTAGTATCCTAAACATAGCTTTTATTTTCTTTGTCTTTTTTTGGTCTTTTTTGGTTTTTATTGGTACCAGGGATCGAACTCACGACTGCCTGCTTGCAAGGCAGGTGCTTATGCCGCTGAGCTAAATCCCCAGCCCCTCTTCTTTGTCTTTTTGAGACAGTTTTGCAACACAGTTCAGGCTGGCCTTGAGTTCACTTTGAGGCTGAGTCTAGCCTTGTACTCATGATCCTCCTGCCTCAGCCTCCTGAATGCTTGGACTACAGGAATGCACCATCATGCCCATTTTGGTGGGTTTTTTTTGTCTTCTAAATAAAACTTTTTACAGATACCCAAGAAAGGGACTGGGCATAGTGACACATGCCTATAATCTCAGCACTTGGGAGGCTGAGGCAGGAGGATCATTAAATTCAAGGCCAGGCTGAGTTCCATAGTGAGTTGAAGATCAGCCTGAACTGCATAGCAAGACCCTGTCTCAAAACAAAATGAAACACCTAGGAAAAATATTACACTATCAAATAGAAAAACGAGGATAAGGGGCTGGGGATTTAGCTCAGCGGCATAAGCACCTGCCTTTGCAAGCAGGCGGTCGTGAGTTCAATCCCCGGTACCAATAAAAAGGAAAAAAGACAAAAAAAAAAAAAAAAAAAGAAGAGAAAAACAAGCACCCTTTTTAGAGGGAGGGTGGCTCAGCACCGCTGTTTTAGAGGCAGCTGGCAAGTGTGACAGGCAGCATTCTGAGATGGTCCTGACAATTCCCACCCACTGGTAGAGACACACCTCCCAAGTATCCAATCAAACACTGATCTCAGTTGCTATATGGAGATTCTGTGAGGTAAGGCTCTTGGCCTCACTCAGGAGACTGTCCTGTGCACACATGGTGAGCACATGAGCCCAGAAATACATGCTTCTAATTAGAGACTACTAATTAGACATTCTTCTAATTAGTGAAAGAGGAGCATGAAAGTCAGGACCCCCTCTGACCATCAGCAAGGCCAGGAAAACTCCTCTACAATCACAAGAAGCTAAATTTTTCTAAGAATGAGAAAAAGCTAAGACAGTCTTCCCCAGACTCCAGGGAGCGGCACAACCCAGCAGACACCCTAACCCTGAAATCCCAGCACTCAGCACAGTGAAGCAGGAAGTTTGAGGCTGACGTGGGCCACAAAGTGAGATTAAGACAAGCTTGAACTGCATAGCAAGACCCTTTCTCAAAACAAAACCAAAAACCAAAACAAAACACCAAGGGGGAAAAAAAATTGGCCAACCAGGCCTGCAGGCACACGTCTGTAATCCAGCACTCTGGGAAGCTGACAGAATGCCTGTGAACTTAAGCCCATCCTGGGCAATTTAGCAACTTAGTAAAACCCTGTCTCAAAATGAAAAATAAAGAGTCCAGTGGACACAGCTCAGTGCAAAGGCTCTGGGTTCAGTGCCTAGCACAAAACAACAACAACAAAAAAAATACTGACTGCGAGCCACGTATAGCAGTATACCTGGAATCAAATGAGAAGCCAGCCTGGACTACATAGCACAACCCTGTTTCAAAACCAAAAAAGAAGCAAGAACCAATGATGGAGCACAACACAACAGGTCCAAATTTACAACTTACTGGACTATGAACAAACAAGTACGTGTTGTTTTAAAATGTTAAATCTGAGATAATTTGTTATGTATGACAGAGAACCCACTGCTATGTAACAAAATGTGAAATGCTCTAACTTTGACCTACCAACTGTAATTCCAGCACTCAGTAGGCTGAGGCAGGAGGATCTCCATGAGTTCAAGGCCTACCTGAACTATACAGTGAAATTGAGCCCAGCCTGAATTACATAGTGAGACCCTATCTCAAAAAACAAAAACAATTTATATGACAAATAAGATCTGATAAATAGAGATATGGCTTTTGTAATAGTAAGAAAATAAAAAGGAAAAAAATCAGCTAAATTATGGTACATCCATACAACTGAACATCTGGCCATGGGAAAAATGAATCGATATAGGACACAATGGGAAAACCTCTGGGATGTATTATTAGTAAGAAATCAATCAAAAAAAAAAAAAAGAAATCAAGATGGAGATAAAACTTGAGTGGGTGGCTCAGTACAGCTCATGCTTAGCAGGTAGGAAACCCTATTTTCCAGCCTAGCACCACAAAAAATAAATAAAAATAGAACCTGACTCTAAATAAAAATTCAAGTCTAAATGTACTGATATTGTCAATGTACTTTAAAATGAGTTAAAAAGAACCCCAGGCTGGTAGCTCAGGCATGCAGTCCAGCACTCCCGGGGCTGAGGCAGGAGGGTCACAGGAGAAACTCTGCCCTGACTCACTAGCACAATTTCAGCCTTCACTTCCTGTAAGTCAGTGAAGTGGGAGGCAGCTAGGGAAACCCGAACATATGGCTGAGGGTGAGTTGGAGACGCTGGAAATGGCCGCACCCAAAATGGGGACATTGTGAAAGCAGAGAGGTGAGGGGGACCTGAGAACAGCCTGGATGTGAGATGGAGGAGAGGAGAAATCCAAGCCAAGCTGAGTTTGTGACATGAGCAAACTGGCGCCTGAAAACACTTCAGCAGCCGGAAGTGGTGACTGGTGCCAGATTTTAGTCATTCCCACACGAGGCCTGGTCAGCACTCCGCACCGCCTCCCAGGTGTGCTGGAAGTCAGTCAGCAGAGCCTCTCCACAGAGCTCCTCACCCAGCGTAGTAAGGTAAAAAGGGTATTTTCTCTTTGGCAGTAGCAGAGATTGAACCCAGGGCCTCGATCATGTTGACAAGCAGCTCTAACACTGAGCTGTATCTGCAGTCCTAAGAAGATGATTCTTGAGCAAGGTGTGGTGGTTCATGCCTATAATCCTAGGGCAATCAGAAGGCTGAGTCAGGAAGACTAATACCAGTCAGGAGGAGGCGGCCAGCCTGAACTACGTAGTGAGCTTTTGTCTCAAAAAATGAAAGAAAAGAAAAAAAAAAAGAAAAGAAACGAAACAACCAAACAAATTAATCCTTAAAACTTCATCTTAGGCTGGGGATTTAGCTCAGTAGCACAAGCACCTGCGTGGCAAGTGCAAGGTTGTGAGTTTGATTCGTGCTACAAAGCAAAAAAACATCTTATTTACAAACTAGACTGCTTATGCTTTCAAGAAGTTGAAAATTTTTCATAATAGTAAAGCATTTTTTCTTCCTTTTTTTAGTTATATGTGCTGCTGAAGTGAGCCTAAGTACTGCTTCTCTTTAAGGGAACCTTCCTACTAAGCTATGCATTGTAACGTAGTAGTTGCCTGACCACGGCAGGAACTTAAACATCTAACTGGGTTTGTTGGCATGTCTGTAATCCCAGCTATTCAGGAGGCTGAGGCAGGAGCAACGTAAGCTCAAGGCCAGTCTGGGCAATTTAGTGAGACCTCGCTCAAATCAAAAAAAATAAAAAGGCTGAGGGAGTAACTGAGGGGTAGAGCTGCTTGCCTAGCATGTGCAGAGCTCGGTTCAATCCACAGTACTGCCAGAAAAAAAAAACAAAGTGAGAGAAATATCAACTTGGGTACAGAGCAGAGTGGCAGTGAGTGAATTAGCATGGATCTGGCTATGTCCTTGTCAGAAACACTTACTGGTTAGTAAGCTAACGTGTAAGTTCCTTCCTCCCCCACTCCCCACCACCCACTTCCAGAAGGGTTAGTGCCAACAAGAAAGCCATAATGTGACACAGTCTCAAGGGCCTGGTTCTCACAGAGCCTGTGCTGTTACCTTGACCTCCTGCCAGTAGGGCCCACCGCGGGTGTACATGAAGTAGCTGTACATCTGGTCCTTCTTCTGGATGAAGTCCGTCTGCTCCCGGATGTTCACCATCCAAGGCCGCCCATCGCCGCGGATGCGGAGATACAGAGAGTTGTACTGGGACCAGTCATAAGACATCTTCTTGTCAAAGGCACCCTGAGTACAAAAGCAAGGTAGTTTAACCTCACACTCATCAAGTCAGCAGTACCCAAGGGTCTGCTCCTCTGTCCTGATGCACTTTTTATCACAGGGAGGCAGGTTAACCTGGTGATTATTACATTAGCACAAAATACTGACCTACCTTCCTATCAAGTCACGTTCAGGAAATGATTGGCGGGGACACACACTTGCCAGCTTGGAGGAAATGACTGTGCCTGTTTTCTGACCCCCAGGAGCAGTGGCATCCGAGTGGCCCACTGTGCAACTTGCCCCAAATCATAAATGACTGAGAAACAGAGCTCAAGGGCTTGGGCTTGGTTTTTGTTGTTGTTTATTTTTGAGATAGGATCTTGCTACAAGACATTGAATTTTTTTTTTTTTTTTTTTTTTTTGTCTTTTTCCTTTTTATCGGTACCGGGGATCGAACTCATGATTGCCTGCTTTCAAGGCAGGTGCTTATGCCGCTGAGCTAAACCCCCAGCCCCCAAGACATTGAAAACTTAAGATTATGCACTTGTCTGAATGATCTCATCTAAGATTCACAGCAGCCCTGTGAGAAAGGTGTCACCATCTTACTGTTTCAGAGTACAGCAGTAACATCTCCATTCCAAGTCCATGTGCTTTACAAAAGTGGGACTGTGCTAGCTTTCAAAGGAGTTATTCATAGCAGTCTCAAGGGCAGCCTGACTCATGACTGACAGTGCTCAGACAAGAACTCATGTTGACCAGCTACACAAGACACTGATCCCTTAGCCTGTTTCCTCCTCCATAAAATTATAATGATCTTTCTTCCCCTTCAAGACTGTTGTGAGGAATAAATAATAATGTAGATAAGTGGAATGAAAGAATGTAGATGAAGTGCCCAGCACATGGTCTGGTGAAGTGCATTAATAAACTATCTCAGCCAGGTATGGTTGCACATGCATGTAATCCCAGCATTCAGGAGGCTAAAGTAGGAGGATCACTGTGAGTTCAAGATCAGCCTGGGTTACAAAGTGAGTTCAACAGGTGGCCTGAACTGCATAGTGAAACCCTGTCTCAAAAAGACAAAAAACAGAACAACCCATTTGGAATCCCTCCTGTCTCTCAGGAGCTCCTCCTGTTCCCCTTCTAATTCCCTAATAAATTTTCCTACTACTAGCTTCCGTTTTCATTACCCATAGTGGCTGTCGAGCCACATATTATCCCCTCTTCTGCACCGTTTTTGCTATTTGTTCACACTGCTTTAAGTTCAAGGCCTCCAGAGTAGCAAGGATTAGAGGCTACCATACCTGGGCCCTCAGAATTATTCTTTACTCCACACTGACCAAAGCCAGTCTGTGGATTTCACAGGCTAACAAAACTCCTATCTATCATTTGTTGCATCTGGAAGAACAAATAGCTTTCTTTTTCATTACTATAGGAAGAGAGGGAGTGTAATACCACTGCTGACACTTATTTTTCTCCTTAAAGCACAGTAGCCAAGCAAATGCCCACAATCAAGGTCAGCAGTCAGGCACACAAGAGTGTCTACAGCAGTACCCAAACAAGGTGGCAAAATATCAGAAAAATCTGGAGGCAGGTGGGAGAAAAAGGGGTTGATTTAAACAACTTTGGAAAGTAGTGTTTTAACTGGAAGCCACAGACTAAAAACAAAAGAAACTACATAAACATTGTACTCTAGTTAATTATGAGCTATAAGTTTAAAGTTCTCAAACTGGGGTCAGGGTATAGCTCAGCGGTAGACTGCGTGCCCATGTACAAGGCCCTACAATGCAAAAACAAAACAAAAAACCTACAATTCGAAAAATGACACTGGCAAGGTGGCATGTATAGTACCTATATTCCTGCTACTTGGGGGCTGAAGATCATCTGAGCCCAGTTCAAAACCAGCCTGGGCAACAACATAAAAAAATCAAATCTGAAATTGCTTTGCATATATACTAGAGCTAAAAATAAATGGATAGCACACAGGACCCAGGTTTCTCAATGTTAAGAGAGGAAGTTACAGCTGAGCAAGAGAAGGGAAACTAGAATAAACCATCTGGCACTGGATTAGACTCAGACAATGGTGTGAACTCCCACTAAGCATAAAATTGTAGGCCTAAGTAGGCAAGGAAATAAGATCACTACACATGCATATACCATGATTTGTCACTTAAACCAGAGGTATGTTTTGATTTTTGCTACTGTTACATTTTAGTGGGGGGGTTTGGTTGGTGCTTTCTGAGACATCGTCTTGCTATGTAGTTCAGGCTGGACCTGATGGTGCAATCCTCCTGCCTCAGCCTCCCAAGTGCTGGGATTACCCACACCTGGCAAAAGCCTTCTATAGAAATACACTGTTGGTGAGTTACCTGGTGTGACTATCAGGGTGTACTCACACTAACCTGGATGGCACAAGTTGGTTATCCAACATGTCCTCTTTGATTTCTTTTCTCAAAACAAGGTCTGGCTATGTTGCCCAGGCAGGATGCAAATGGCAGTCCTCTTGCTCAGCCTCCCAAGTGCTGGAATTACAGCATGTGCCATCACACCTAGCATCAGCATGATCTCCTGATGCAATCAAGAGATGTAGTAAGCATGACATCTAGAAGGCTGCTACCAGCATAACATAACACACTATTTTATTTTTAACACACTATTTTAGAGTGAGCTTCTTTTTAGGTACAAGGAATACAGTCTAAAATAATGATAAAAAGTACATGTACATCAGTATCATTGTCGTTCACACATCTAAACTGTTAAGTACTACACATAATTGGGCCATACATTTATCTGGCTCGCAGCACACTGAGTTTACAGCCACCACCAGAACAAACATGGGAGTGACATGTCACAATACCAGGTTCTGAATGATTGGTGACAAGAATGTTTTACCTTCGTAACACTTTCACGGAACGGCCATCATACATGCAGCCTGCGACTGAGTGAAGAGCTAGTCTGGGGGGAATGCCTGTGTTTCTGCCTATAACTACTGAAAAAGGCCAGAGGGCACAAAGCATACCCTGCACCCAGCCTTTGGTATCCAATCCCATTCTTCAAACATCAGATCAGGTCTCTTTCAAGAAATTACTAATTCTATTGCCAGGATAGGAAAACTACAAGATGAGTGCAGAGTGTCTTGTAGTGTCACAAAGTGCTTTCAAAAGTAGCTGAGTGTGCTGGCACAGGTATGTAATCTCAGCACTCTGGGAGGCTGAGGACGCTGGCAAGTTCAAGCCTTGCCTTGGTAAGTTGGCAACTTAAGACTCCAAAACTGAAAATGAACAAACAAACTAAAGGGTGAAGACCCTAGGTCTGATACTCAACACTGCAAAACAAACAAACAAAAAGTGCTCAAAAGAGAAAAGCATGAGGGCCAACCTTGCACGGCACTTAAGTAGTGAAAGCTGGGATTACTAGGCAAAAAGTAAGAGCCTGGCTCAACCACTGGTCCAGGCATGACTGTCCCCCAGGGCGCATCTAATCACATTTATCAGTCTTTGTTGGGAGCCGCAGCCCCGAGCCCGGTCGCTTCACTTGGCGGACGTGAGGCCTGTAGTAAAGAGTAAAGCCTGAGGTAGATTACCCCTCCCATCGAGCACGTTAGTTTCCTGCTTACCGCGTAAGCAACCCGCTCAACAATATAGTCTGCCTGGCAACTGATGATGTTAGCCAATCAGCTTGCCTTGCTTACTTCAACATGATTGGACACTGTATCCGTATATATACTGGTGCCACCCCTGGGGGGGAAGAAGAAGCCCGGAAGTAGAAGCCCAGAAGGAGCCGCGGAGAGCGGACCGGTAGAGGCTTCGGAGCGAAGCCCGGAAGGAGCCGCGGGGAGCGGACCAAAGGAGGCTTCGGCTGGGAGCGATCCCAGGGCAGGCTGTACGGAGAAGAAAAATAAAAGAAAAGGTTGTCCACTGCCAGACTTTGTCGTGTGTCCTTCCTGCCGGCCGGGAGCGGACATCGACAAGTCTTTTTAGTATAAAATTAGTAAAAAGCTGCCAGTGTCCACCGGTGGTTCAAGCCACTCAGCAGTGAAACATGAACTACAGCCCATCAAGAATGTGTTAAATTATCAACAAAGTGAAATTCCATACTAAAGGATTGAATGAATAAAGTGAAAGTAGAAGAGAAAGCAAATCTTCTGAAAAAACCTCAAATAACTTGCAGATATTACGTCCTCCAAGAAATAGCTTATTCCTTCTCCCTACCTGAGTGCAGACTGCACTCATGACCTGTGAAAAGAATGAGAAGACTGTCTGGCAAACACAGTCCTGCTCAGGCAGTCACATACCCTGTTAGTATGCAGAGAGAAGGGTGTTTAACTCTGTGTGTATCCATCCTAAAACACCAGGAGAAAGACACCAGGAATCCCTAAACAAGGGTCACTCTGGAAATCTCAATCCTTCTGAAAATTAGCACTGATAGTCACAGCTATCTGACAGACTAAAGTGGGAATATCACCTGAGCCCAGTAGCTTGAGACCTGTTTGGACAACACACAGAGAAGATATATCAGAACTCTGTGGAAACTGAGTATGGTGACACCCAGCTGTAAATCTCAGCACTCAAGACACTGAGGTAGAAGAATGTTTAAGGCCAGGCGAACTACATGGTGAGTTTGATTCTAGCCTGAACTGTACAAAAAGACCCTGTCTCAAAAAATGAAAATGAAAACGAAAATGAAAAAGAAAGAAACAAAATTTAAGGGCAGACTAAGAAACTATCATGTATCAGAGAACTAAAGACACATAATAACTACATGCAGTGTGCTACCATGGATAGGCTTCTTGAACAGAAAAAGAATATTACTACAAAAACTAAAGAAATCCAAATAAAGTCTAGAATTTAGTCAGCAGCAATGTACCAAAGATAGTTTCTTGGGGGCTGGGATTTAGCTCAGCGGCATAAGCACTTGCCTTGCAAGTGTGCGGTCATGAGTTCAATCCCCAGTACCGATCAAAAAAACCAAAAACCAAAAACCAAAAAAAACAAAGAGAGTTTCTTAGTCATGACAAGTGTAGTATAGTAATCTATACTGTGCTCATAGCTGGGTAAGAGGTACACAGGAACTCTGCACTACCTTTGTACTTGCAATTTTTCTATAAAGCAACAATTCTTCTAAAATAAAAAATGTACTCAAAAAAGAAAAAAGCCACAGACTAACCTTATATCCACTCTAAGAAATCCCAGGCCACCAGAGTGTCTGTGCTGTAAGACAGAGGAAACATCAACCTCCAAACATCACCCAGGACTCTGACTGCTAGGGAGCCCTCACATAGCAGTGTTCCACTGCACAAAACAGTGCCAGCAACAAGGAATACTCCTCAGGAACCACTTCCTGTGCCCTGGAAAGATGCCATCCACTGCATGCCAGGTGCTGTGAGCCAGTGACAAGAAGTCTGCCCAGGAAAGCAGCTCCTCCCTGCCCCTGTCGCCTGGCCTTACCTACCCGGAGTGCCCTGGATATCATTGCACAGTACCCGCTCTGGCTGCTCTCCCCATCCTTGGGAGCCTCGGAGCTCAAAGTCCCATACAGCAGCGCACTTTGGTTGTTCTTGCCCATTTTCAAGAACACTTCGCTTCTGCCTCCAATTGTCTTGTCGGAGGTCACGACCCACTTGTCCAAGTCCTCTTTGCCTCGAAACTGCCAGACAATCCTGGCTTGCTCGAGCAGGACCTCGTGCAGGGGGCGGCCTTCCGGGCCCACCCAGCGACTCACGATCTCATTCTTCAAGCGTCTAAAGTGGTCCTTTACTTCGTCCCTCAATGCTTTTTCAAAACTCACTTCAGGCTTCTCTTCAGAAGAGAGAATATCCACCGAGACTTCCTTCTGCTCATGTCCTTGCAAACCTTCTTCGGGCCTGCTCTGCTGGGAGGCTCTTCCAGGAGTGGTGCCTGGCTTCGGAAGGCTCCCTGAACAATAGGCTGTGACGCAAACACCCAGAGGCTGACGCAGGGCCCTGTGTAGCTTCAAGTACTTTCCAAGAACATGCGGGCCACTTGGGAATCTGCAGGCCAAAGCCATGCTTCGAAAAGGGCAAAGGGTAAATGTTTCCCCCGTTCTCAAGGGAGGACACTTCAGCAAACAGCCTGATTCCACCTGTGATGAAAAGACAACGAAAAGTTAGCAGTGCAGCAACCAATGCGTCACAATTTCAAATTCAAAAGGGGTCAGAATTAGGATACTTTAAACATATTTTCTAATTCTTAAAACATTCATTTATGAGCAAAGCATTGTATCACACACTTCAAAAAATACCAACATAACTAAAATCAAGCCCTCATAAAACAAAGCCTCAGCTCCATCAACATGCTAATCAACCCAAAAATAATTCAAGTATGTGTCAAATGCTACCCCAGGATGTTGTATCAACTTTTTGTTGTTGTTTTTTGTTTTTCGAGACAGTTTCATTACATAGTTCAGGCTGGCCTAGAACTCACCAGTGATCCTTCTACGTCAGCCTTCAGAGTGCTGGGATTATAGGCATGTGCCACCATACCCTGCAGATGTATCAATTTTAAATTTTAACACGGGGTTTTTAAAGAAATAGTAGGTTCTAAAACAGTAAATACCCAAGTAATTCACTTTAGGACCTAGGCCAACTGACTTTCAGTGTAACCGTTCTTAAAAAGAGGGGTAAGCTGCGCATGATGGCACATGCCTGTAATTCCAGCATTCTGGGAGGCTGAAGCAGGAAGATTGCAAATTTGGGCCAGTCTGGGCAATTTAGCAACCTTGTCTCAACATAAAAAATCCATTTTTTTTTTTTTTTGTCTTTTTCCTTTTTATTGGTACCAGGGATCGAACTCACAAGGCAGGCGCTTATGCCACTGAGCTAAATAAATCCCCAGCCCCAAAAAATCCATTCTTTTGTTACTTTTTTTGAGAAAGGTCTTGCTATATAGTGCAGGCTGGCCTTGAACTCACTATATAGCCAAGACTGGCCTCGAACTCTCTTTTTTTTTTTTGGTACCGGGAATTGAACACATGGCCTCGTGCTTGCCAGGCAAGCGCTTATGCCGCAGACCTAAATACCCAGCCCCTGGCCTCAAACTCTCAATGATCCTCCTGCCTCAGTCTGCAAGGGCTGGGATATCAGGAATGTGCCAAGCTTGGCTAAAAAATTGTTTTTAAAAGGGGGCTTGAGGGCCTAGGGATTTAGCTCAGCAGCATAAGCTGCTGTTTGGCAACTGTGAGGTCATAAGTTCAATCCCCCATACAAAATAAAAAAGGAGGGGATCACTTAAGCTGGACATGGTGGTGCACTCCTGTAATCCTAGCACTGGGAGGCTGAGGCAGGAAGAGCATTGCAAGTTCAAGACCAGTCTGGGCTACAAAGTGAGCCCAAGGCCAGGCAAGTCTGAACTGCATAGAAAGACCCTGTCTCAAAAAGACAATAAATAATACATACATACATACATACATAGGCTGGAATGCAGGTCAGTGTGAAAGCCCTGGCTTTAATAATACCCATTATTCAAAAAAAAAAAAAAAAAAGAAAAAACAGGGGTCCTATAGTGAGTACTGTATGTGGAATCAGAGACTGGAATGCGACACCTGGTTCTGCCTATTTTATAGGCTGTACCTATATATATGAGTACTGCAGTTTCACAGCACTAAACCTAATAAAGCTGTTTACCCTCAGATAAACCAGCTGCTTTCCCCTACCCTACCAGTTCTGAGGGTTAAACCTTTATCATTGAGCTTCATCCTCAGTCATTAAATTGCCCAGGTTGAGCTCAAACTTGGGATCCTCCTGCCTCAGCCTCCTAGTGTGCTGGGATCAGAGGCATAAGCACCCACACCTGGCTCCAGTCCACCTTTTGAGGGCCCCCTTTTCTCAGAAGGAAGTCTCCTATCTACCTGTTCTTCTGCAGATCATATGGAATGACACTTGCAAGAGGCTTTTCAGATTCCGTAAGTCTAATGACATCCACAAATTACTTCATTTGTAAAATCTCCTAGTCCAAGTCCCACATAAGTAACCAGTTCTTGTATCAGTCACTGTTTGAACTCCTCAAAGGCAGAACTTGCATGGCATGATGGTGCACACCTGTAATCCCTTACTAGGAAGGCTGAGTCAGGGAGATCACCACCAGCTGGAGACCAGCCTGAACTACACAGCAAGACTGTCTCTTAAACTTAAAAAATAAAAGACAAAAATTCTACAGTTCAGTGCAGCTAGGTTTAAGAGTCTACGTTGAAATGGTCCCAGACCCCACAGGACGTGTAGTCCTTGGAGAACACTGCCTCCTGACTGCATGGGTCACCCGAACACCACTTCTCTCCCAGATTCTCATACACCACCGGCTCCTCCAGCCCCCGCACCACTCAGCATGAGGCAGGACCTCTGCTGCAGAACCGGTCTCTTCTCTTAAACTGTTAGAGCACCTCAAGTGGCTGAAAGTGTAACTCCCTGGTAGAAGATGTGCCCTACATTTGATGTCCAGCCCTAAAATGCTAAAGCCCAGTATTTCCCATAGGCCTTGGGCTCCTCCAGATCTGCTTTCTGCTTGTACCTCCAAACCTCACCACTCTGCCCCAGTCAGAGATGCCTGATTGACAAGCACCAATAACACATTGTCCTTAGGCTGCAGACCACGACCAATGGCTGCTCCTAGGCCAGGAATGGCCCCCACCAATCCTGCCTGGCTCAATCTGGATATTTGCCTCTTCCAAAAGCCCTGCCTGAGTGCCCACTTTCTCCAAGATCAGTGCTGCTAGTCTAGTCTCCAAGCCTAGGGTCACATTTTCCCTATTATAGTTTACTGAGCAGTTCCACTGTGGTTTATTGACCTGTCAATCTCTCCCCAGACTGGAAGTACCTCGAGAGCAGAGTCCTTCCCCACTGTGCCACCCTTGGTTCCAGTCCGTGACACATGCAGGGGGCATCTCGTATCTGCACAAACATCTACACATTTCTGTACTTCTGCCACAAGTGCCCTGCTTCAAAGCCATGCTGCTGCTTGTCATCCCTGAGCAATTCTTCTAAAGAAGGGCTTCTCTAACTCTTACATGCCATTAATTACTTGGAAATTGTGGTAAAATGCAATTTTGATTCAGCAAATATGGCTTAGGGCCTGAGAATCTGCATTTTTAAATACATGCCTTGTTAGCCCATGGAGAACATTAAGTAGTAAAATCCTGACTCTGGTCACCATGCTGATGCTAATCTTCTCCATCCTATGGCTAGACGCAGTAGAACTTTTCTACATATGATGGCACTTCCCATACTACTTCAGCCACTCCTAGAATGTGAACTCCTAAACACACATGGGACTTCCCAATAATGGCCCTTTTGGTTTGACAGCTTACAGTGCTGGTAGCCACCTCAGCTAGACAGACCTTCTGATTCAAGTCTGCAGACAGCAAAACCACTGACACTGTTCAGAGCACAGACAGATTCAGGGCTGGAGGTCCAGCTTGAAAGCAGAATACCAAGACTTTGAGTTTGAGCCCCTGCACTAAAAACATAAAATATAAAAAGCAGTGCAGAGGGGCTGGGGATTTAGCTCAGCAGCATAAGCGCCTGCCTTGCAAGCAGGCAGGCGTGAGTTCAATCCCCGGTACCGAAAAAGACCAAAAAAAAAAAAAAAAAAAAAAAAAAAAGCAACATTCGCTTCACTTTTTTGCTTTCCTCCCTCTCATAGCACCACCTCTACCTCTACCTCCTGATGGTAAGCTCTATAACACTGCTAGACAGAAACTTTCAGCCAGTGCCCTCCTGACCCCTCTTGCTGAGACACCCCATCGTGCCCATGCTGTGCTTCTCTATCGAGAGGCAACAGACCCAACCCACTCGACTACACGCCTGTTTCCGGAAGGCTGTGATGAGGCACCTGCCACTCTCTTCCCATTCACGTGAGAACTCAGGCAGACCTCTCAAGTACAGTAGAACCAAGCCAGGTGTGGGCTATAATCCCAGTACGTGGGAGGCTGACACAGGACGATGGTGAGTTGAGGCCAGCCTAGGTACACGGGGAGTCTCACTCAAAAACGTCACCCCCCCACACACTAATGTTACAAGTATAAAAAAGCAGAAACAAGAAATATTGAGAGAAAAAAAGCTTAATGTGTAGGATGGGATTTTGAATAACATGTCTTAACATTTTCTTTCTTTTGTTTTGTACCGAGGATCGAACTCATGACTGTGTGCTTGCCAGGCAGATGCTTATGCTGCTGAGCTAAATCCCTGGCTTTACCATTTTCTAAACCCTCAGTAGTATTGATACTCCTTTAGTAGTATAAATATAATTATGTTTTATTTTGAAATGGGATCTCACTATATTTCCCAGACTGGTCCTACACTCCTAGGCTCAACTAATTTTTCTTCCTCAGCTTCTTGAGTAGCTGAAACTACAGGCTGAAGTGCCACCAAACCTGGCAGAGGTTCTTTTTTTTTTTTTTTTTTTTTTTGGTCTTTTTCCTTTTTATCGGTACCAGGGATTGAACTCACGACTGCCTGCTTGCAAGGCAGGCACTTATGCTGCTGAGCTAAATCCCCAGCCCCCAGAGGTTCATTTTTTACCAAAAGACAAAGTCACATCTAGTAACTCAACAATGATGGGCTGATGTTAGCAGTGAGTTTTCACAATGGAATCCATGCAACTAGTGGTATTAATAAAGAGTGTAAATTCTGCCAGGTGTGGTGGTAAACACCTGGTAACCTTAAGCACTCTAGGAGGCTGAGGCAAGAGGATTGCTACATCAAACTTAGTACTTATCGGCAATTAAAGACTCAACAAAACCTCTTATCCAAAAACAAAAGTTGAGGCTGGGGATTTAGCTCAGCAGCATAAGTGCCTGCCTTGCAAGCAGGCAGTCGTGAGTTCGATCCCCGGTACTGATAAAAAGGAAAAAGACAAAAAAAAAAAGTTGGGGCTGGGGATTTAGCTCAGCGGCATAAGCACCTGCTTTGCAAGCAGGCGGTCATGAGTTCGATCGCTGATACCGATAAAAAGATTTAAAAAAAAAGTTGATGATGATCTCAGGTGAAGGTTCTGTGTTCAATCAAAAAAATTTTAAAAATTGTAAAACTAGAGCGACTGAGGCAGGAAGATCACTGTGCATTTGAGGCCACTCCCAGCTACATAATGAGTCAAGGCCAGCCTGAACTACATAGGGAGACCCTGTCTCAAAAACAAAACAAGGAAATCAATTTGGTGCAGTGATTTATGCCTGTAATTCTAACAACTAGGGAAGCTGAGGCAGAAGGATTGCAAATTCTAACCCAGCTTGGACAATTTAGCAAGACTGTCTCAAAAAACAAAAAACAAGAAAATAACCAGGTCTGTGATGCACCTCAGTGGTACAGCACTCAACGTTCGTTCTCTTGTACTAAAATAAGTAAGTATTGCTTAATCCCACCACTCAGGAAGGTGAAGCAAGACGACTGCCATGAGCTCAAGACCAGCCTGGGCTACATAGTGAATTCAAGGCCAACCTGGACTGCAATGCGAGACCCTGCTCAAAAAATAAAATAACAGATAAAGACTCCTCCGAAACGGAGGTTCCAATATTATTCGAGGTCACACAGCTGGTGGTAAAACTAACCCCTGTAGCTCCTCACCCGGGCCAGAGGAGAGAGACAGTTCGCCAGGGGACAACCCCGTCAACCCTCACCTGTCAGACCTGCGCCGCCTCCCGGGTTGCAGACGTTCCCACAGTTATAGCCTCTGCTCACCTTTCCCGAGGCTAAGCAAAGCTTCTGTCCGAGTCCGCCGCCCTTTCCCGCCCGGTCCTCCACTATTCCGGTGTAGGTCCATCGGCTTTTCCTTTCCGGCGCCAAATAGGTGATTCAGCATTAAAGTTCCGGTACTGGGCAGAGTCCCAGAAAGAGTGGCGAGGATGCCGCAGCCCGGCGACCTGAGAGTTGGTCCATCAACTCCACAAAAGGCCCGACCTCCACATCCCGTCATTATCTCTGCTCTGTGTGAGAAAAGAAAATTCCGAGATCTTCACCTCCCGCCCCCATGCAGTACACTCCACCCCTGTGCCTCTCACGTAGGATTTGGTTGTTAGCGCCATTCACACCAGGCGCCGGCGGCCTGCCTTCTCGCTACGCCGTCCCCAGGAGCTGTCCGAAGCTCATCGGGAAGACATCTCTGCTGCTGATCCCCGGCGCCCAGCGGAGACCACCGTCGCTGAGTCCCAGCTTGACCCGCCAGCCTGCCCTCCCCACCCTACCGGGACGCGCGGCCCCGGACGCGCACTGTTCTCCGGGGCTTCGCAGAGGGCACCAAACGCTGCTGCCACTTCCGGGTTTCCTTCACCATCAGTTTTCAGTCAAAATTCTACTTCGTCTTCTCTGGACTCCACATTTAAGGCCTGGATCCTTCCGGTCCTACCTCCTCAATGATTTCCTCTTCCACCACCTTAATTCTCCCCAGAGCCTAAGCTACACACACCCTTTTTCTAGTTTCCAATAGGCATTTTCTACAGACAATTTGATAACTTCTTTTCCTACGCCCTGGGATACATTCCCAATTCTTGCAGCAGTTCCAGTGGTGGGACCTAGCATTTCCAATTTGATGTGTGAACACATACCATATCAATTACTCTTCTTTGCTTCTTGCTTTCTTATGCTCTGGTACTGAAGATGGAACCCAGGGCTTTAACGCTGAACTGCATCCCCAACCCTTTATTTATTTATTGATTGGTACCAGGGATTAAACTTATGACCTTGCACTTGCTAGGCAGGCACTTGTGCCACTGAGCTAAATCCCCAGCCCCCTCTTTTTTATTTTATTTTTTGGTCTTTTTTCCTTTTTATCGGTCGGGGATGGAACTCATGACTGCCTGCTTGCAAGGCAGGCGCTTATACCGCTGAGCTAAATCCCCAGCCCCCTCTTTTTTATTTTTTGAGATGGGGGTCTCAAGTTGTCCAGACTTGGTCCAAACTTAAGATACTTCTGCTTCAGATTGCAGATTGCAAGAATTACAAGTATGTCCCATGCATCTTCCCTATTTCTGTAAATGCCCACATCCTCCTAGGCTGGAGATCCTTGGTTGCTATGAACACCTCTTCTCACTGATCCTAAGTCCTACTGAGTTCTCTTTACTGGCTTTGATCTTTTGATCTCACTCCTCTTCAAACATGGTGACTTTCATGGTTATTGTCCTTATACTACTTTCCCTCCAGCTATTGATCGGCCTAGGTGGAACACATTAACAGTTTGTCTAATAAATGTGATAAGTCAGACACACATGTTTAAATATCACACTGTTTCTCTGGTGTGAGAAGCTGAAAAAATAAATAAGAACCAAAATGTATAATAGATGCTGGGAAGGGACTGGGGATTTAGCTCAGCGGTATAAGCGCCTGCCTGTAAGCAGGCAGTCGTGAGTTCGATCCCCGGTACCGATAAAAAGGAAAAAGACAAAAAAAAAAAAAAAATAGATGCTGGGAATTAAGGGAAAACTGTTCAAATGGGTAGGAGGTACAAAGGAGGAGGGAGAGGGAAAGAAAGGAAGGGAAAAGGGAATAAAAGAGAACAGAAGAAAAAAGTGGGTACAAAGCTTTTATAAATAAGGAAAGGAGGGATTGAAGGGAGGGGAAGGGTTTGGGAAAAAAGAGTCAAGATATATTATGTACAGTTACAAACTCACTATGAGGTATCTAAAATGTATTAATAAGGAACTGCACCATCCCAAGGGCTAGGAGACCGAGGAGCAGAACCACACTCCCCAGACCCCAGCCGAGTGCCGCTGGAGCCTTCGACTTGACCACATTGCTGCCATCGGAGGAGCTATGGCCCTGGGTGCTGCACACTTGGTCTTGACATCCGTGGACTTCACCATGACCAGGATTGCAGTTTTCTCCTTGACCGCTATGAAGACATTGGTGGCTGCCATCGCCAACTGGGGCGAAGAGGCAGGTGGCACAGTGGCCACCCTTCAGTCTATATGGGTTCCAGACAGCTAGCATCTCTGAATCATCTAACACGGTCTTGGGCTCCCTCAAGGCTGCTGTAGGGCCTTGTTAAGGCATTCGACTGGATCCTAAGCTTGAGGATGTCCAGCCAGGAAAAAAACGTGTCCTGAGTTGAACCTACAAAACCCTTACTCAGATCAGAGAAAGATGAGGAATAAAGGCCCCATGCCCATAAATAAATAAATAAAATGTAGCAATAAAATTAATTTTTAAAAGTTTGTCTATTTCCACCTTTAAAATGTAGAGCCCAGACTAAGTGTGGTAACACACACCTGTCATCCCAGCATTTAGAAGGCTAAAGCAGGAGTTTCCCTGAGTTCAAGGCCAACTTGAACTGCATAGTGCAACACTGTCTCGAATGAAAGACAAAAAAAAAAAAAAGATAAAACCCAAATATAAATACCATATTCCTTTTGGCCTCCAAATGTGCTGCTGAACAAAGTCTAAGCCTTCCATAATCTCATATTCCATCTATGCTATTCATATTTATCTTCAGTATCTCATCCCAGTTGGTATCTGCTAAACCATAACTGATATTCCTCATGAAAAAATAAGATTTTCTCTGCTCGGCACCCACTCCTTCCCCATTCCAACCCTCCTGGGTACCTGACCTTCCATTCTTGAGTGAATTAGGTGTGGGGTAGGCACCTGATCTGTACTGAGCCACGCAGGTTATTCTGAAGGATTTTCTGAATTAGAGATGAAAAGGCCCTTTTCATCCCAGTGGCTCCTGCTAAATCGTCTATTAATATTGTGGAGAATATTGGTATCAAAGGATAAAATAAATTTCAGTTTACATGGATGTTGCCAGTTCTAGTCAATTATGTTCCCTCCCATAGATTGACTGTTTAGCTCCTTGAATTCTTTTTTTTTTTATCGGTACCGGGAATCGAACTCACGACTGCCTGCTTGCTAGGCAGGTGCTTATGCTGCTGAGCTAAATCCCCAGCCCCCGCTCCTTGAATTCTAAGCATGATAAATTTCCCTTAAATGAATGGAGTTTCTGTTACTTGCAACCAGTGATTGCTCATTGATACATTAAGTCCACCTGTTCAGAAGACACAAATCCACTCTCTGGGGAGAGACAAGGATGGGCAAGGTGAGTAAGGAGTGCCAGAGCAGTTAGTGGGAGCAAGTTCAATAGTGCTGTTGGATAGCAGGGTGATTACAGGTAATGATAATGTACTGGGTATTTCAAAAAACTAGAAGAAAGGATTCTGAAAGTTTTCACCATTAAAATCATAAATATTTGAACAGATCTATTTAACTGGATTTAAAGATATACTGCAACAGCATGCAGAACACTGAAACGACACACAGGATTTAGAGGCAGATTTATTTTACATTGACAGGCATTGACAGGGAATCAATTGTCCCTCAAAATTTCAGGCCTTGAAGGCTCAGGGAGGGGGGTTTTATGGAGTTACATGCAAGAAGCAGAGTACTTGGCTATCTTTGACTGGTTCTCACAATATGCATCAGAGTGGCCAGCTATGCATCATAGTCACCAGCCATTTCTAGGAGACAGGAGCAACAGGAACTATTGCCTGGGAAACTAACAAACTGGGGGACATTTTCTGCTACAATATATATATATATATATATATATATATATATATATATATAAAATCCAAAACATAACCCATTAATACATGCAACATTTTCAAGGCAGGATCTCCTTCAGCACGTAATTTAGGCTGGCTATATATTCTAACTCACCTCAATCTTCCTGCCTCAGCCTCTCAAGTGCTGGGATTACAGGCATGCACCACAACACCCAGCCACTTTTTTCTTTCTTTCTTTTTTTTTTTTTTTTTTTTTTTTTTTTTTTGTACCAGGAATTGAACTCACAACCTTGAATTTGGCAAGCAGGAACTTATGCCACTGAGCTAAATTCCCAGCCCCGACATGGGCACTTTTTTTTTTTTTTTTTTTGTCTTTTTGAGACGGAGTCTCGCTATGCAGTTCAGGCTGGCCTTGAGCTCACTTTGTAGCCCAGGCTGGTCTCGAACTCGCAACAATCCTCCCACCTCAGCCTCCCGAGTGCTGGGATTACAGACATGAGCCACCACGCCTGGCAACCTGGGCACTTTTTAATGTACTTTTTTCTTTTGAGACAGGATCTCATGTAGACCAAACTCCCACACCCAGTTTGTCATCTTTTTTTTTTTTTTTTTTTACTTTTTAAAATTTTATCGGTACCGGGGATGGAACTCACGACTGCCTGCTTGCAAGGCAGGAGCTTATGCCGCTGAGCTAAATCCCCACCCCCCAGTTTGTCATCTTTTTAGTAATTTTTTGTTTGTTTGCCACATCCAATTTTTATGTATAACTTTTATATTATGCATCAGTCAACAAATTTAATTTAAAAAATAAATCATGTTCTTTAAAACTTACTGTTCTCATCCCATGATTACTCCCTTCTGACACCCCAAAATGTTTCATTTTTCTTAAGCACTAGTGGAGCTGAACCCAGAGGTGCTGTACCACTGAGCTGACCTCAAACTTGCAATGCTCTTGCTTCACCTTAAAGACAAGTCTTGTATGTCTGGCTGGCTGGATATACTGCATAGCTGGATTACAGGAAAGTACCATCTTGCCCAGCCAAATTTATTCTTTTTTTGCGGTGGAGGGAGGATATTGGAGATTGAACCCACAGTTTTTGCACTCAGCTACATCCTCAGCCCTTTTATATTCTTTATTTTAGGACAGGATCTAAAGTTAAGTTGCTAAAATAGCCAGGCTGGGCTTGCCAGCTTCCTGAACATGCTCCAAGAATGCTATAATTACAGGTGCGTACCACTGTTCCTGGTTACATTTATTTTTTATGTGATACACACTGACAATTATGGTCAAATGAAAACTATATCACAAACTTTTTTTGGTACTGGGGATCGAACTCACGACTACGTGCTTGCAAATCAAACACTTATGCTGCTGAGCTAAATCCCTGGCCCCTCATAAACTTTAATAAACTATCTATGGGGGCCAGGGATTTAGCTCAGCAGCATAGGCACCCGCCTTGCAAGTGCGCAGTCATGAGTTTGATCCCCAGTACCAAAAAAAAAAAAAAAAAAAAGAAGAAGAAGAAGAAGAAAACCTGTTTATTGCTTTTGTATACAAGGCATCTCCTGAACAAGAATAAATTGTGAAGGCAAGGATTTTGTCATATACTTAAAATATATTTTATAGTAACTGGCACAAATTTAGACCCAGCTTGCATTACATAGTGAGACACTACCTCAAAAAAAAATCAAATTTAGACTCAGGACGGATATTATCTT